GGCCGGTTGCGCGGACGCTCGCGCGCAGGTCGGGCGTGCGCCCCTCTCTCGCGTGGGCCGACTCCTGTTTTTCTCGTCGTTCCCTTGTCAGGAGAGGAGCCAGCACGCAGGCACGAGTAATCGTCGACTCCCAGGAAAGCGTGGGAAAAGATGGGAAGTGGGGGCGCCCCCCCCCAAAAGCCGCGCACCAGAGGTCACTCTTGCCCAGTGTCACTCCTCCGTGCAGTCGATTCTGAGGCGCCGCCTCCGTCCTCGGAGAGGGCTCCGGAGCACTGCCCCCCCCAGATGGGGCGCGAGGGCTCTGTCGTGGAGCGCCCCCGCCGGGCCTCGGAGAGGAGGCCTGGCCCCCTCTTCGCTTCCCTCCGTGGGCTCGCCGCCGCTCCCATGGGTCGGGGGTGGATAGACCTCCTGCCTACCCTGACACGTCGATCAGCGAATTGGCCGTTTTCGGTTCGCGGGAGGGCGTCGCGGCCGTCGTTTTTGCGGGTCCAGGTCCGTCGGTTTCGGTCTCAGGCCCTTTTCACTAAGGGGAGGTTTACTAAAGGGAGGTTTGTCCAACGCCGAATGGGATCCCCTTGTGTCATGGTCTGTTGCGCTGCATCTTCGGTTAAGTCGGGCACGTCCCTCTACCAGAGGAATACTCAAAGATAGTAAAGAGTAGTCTGGGGATGATGTTTATATAATGTTTGATCATTTTCAGTGTATGTTTGAATATTTTCTATTCTGCGTCAAAAGTCGGCCTGTAGGGGGACATGCCCGACCTAAATCTTCGGAGGGCCTCGCCTGTCCCCAAAGTTGGTGCCTTTTCTTGAGCCCAATGCGGACTCGACTCGGACCTGGCGTGGACTCGTTGCGGATTCGACACGAATGAGACACAGATCCGACGAGCCCGACATGTATTCGACGCGGATTCGACGCGAAGAGGGCCGCGACGGGACAGACGAGGTCCCCCGAGGGTGCAACATACGGTTGGTTCATGTTGCGAGCCTCAGAGGTCTGGACCCGTTCCCCAGTGCTTTGACAATCCCGAGGCCCAGCGGAGGTCCCCAGAGGCGGAACATGACGAGAAGCCGCCCGCAACTGCTTCATCTGCTTTTGCGGGGGTCTGGGAAGGCGGCAGGCCGAGTGCTCTGGGGGGACCCGGGGGCCCCCAGCGTCCTGTTTGAGCTCCCGAGGTCGCAGCGGGGCGGCGCCCGCGCGGCGCCCTTCTTGCGCTGCCCCCCCCCCCTGGCCCCGCAATGCCTCGACCCGCCGCGGCCCCGCTGCCTGTCGCCTAAGAAGCAGAGGCGACGTCAACATGAGCTCTCGGAGCTCCCCGATTGCGAACAGGAAGTGCACCACCACCACCACCACCACCATCTGGGGGACTCAGAATGAGCTGACTTGCGGGGTGCAGGTGTACATTGTGCGCGCGCGAAACGATCTTCACCACCAGCACCGCCCTTGACCATCCTCTGCCTACATCCTCCAGGTGGTGGTGATGGTGGTGGTGGTGCGTTTCTTTCTCCCTGCCCGAGATCATATGGCGTTGCATGTTTTTCACCATGGGCGTTCTAGCCCGGTTTCGGGCCCCAGGGCCGTGACATGTCAGTCTGGTTCGAAGAATGGCTCAGGACAGTGGTGCCTGGTGCTCCAGTAGTGTTTTTTGCGATGCTGTCTTTGCCGATCTTCACGTGGTGTTGAGTCCTCGCTTTGAAGAGACAGCGCCCCGCGTTCCTCCCTCCTCCTCCTCCTCCTCCTCTTCCTCCTCCTCCTCCTCCTCCTCCCCCTCCTCCTCCTCCTTTCCTTCCCCCTCCTCCCCGCCCTTCACTGTACCCTCCGCATCAGACTACCAGTTTGGCACACCCCGCACACGCTTCGTGGCCCCATTCGGAGCTCCACCGAAGGCCCCAGTGGCAGGGTTCGCATGCGGCTACCCGCCCATCGCATGTCCAATTTGGCGCATTCCTCACACTTTTCGTGGCCCCACAGCGAGCTCAACCGAAGGCCCCGGTGGCAGGGTTCACATGCGGCCCGCCGCCCACCGCATGTCCATGTCAGCACCCCCGCACACGTTTCGTGACTCCATAGGGAGCTCCACCGAAGGTCCTAGTGGCAGGGTTCGCCCGCCCACAGCATGTTCATTTCGGCACACCTCTCACACGTTTCAAGGCCTTCACCGAATGTACACTTTTCACGGACTTCGTGGTCCCATAGGCTCACAGGGACTCTTTATAATTTGCTTCCAGCAGCTACCCGACGTGTCCGCGCTCTGCCCAGCGCCCTGCCCGTTGTCAGCCACTCTTCTTTTGTTGCTCCGTGACTTGGACAACCCGCTCGCATCGTCGGGACTCCTTCGGGGCGACTCGCGCGCGTCGCAGGGACTCCGGAATGTGCGGTGCCCAAGCCGCGGTCACCGAGGCGCAAGGCCGAGGGGATACATACGCGAGAAGGAAATGTATACAAAACGGCGGGGCACGGGACTGAGGCCACCGCAGGCAGGCGGGTAGGAAGGCAACGCCGCACACTGGGAACAAGGAAAGGAGTCAAAGATCAGGGAAGAAAGTGGGCACGAAATGGCGGCACATGGGGCTCGCGCCAAACAGCGCATCCCACCTCCAGCCCAACGGCTTTCCCGTTGACGCCGCGGTCCTTGGCTTGGCCCCTTTCTCCTCCTCGCTTGCCCCGTGATGCTCGAAGCTGCTTCTGGTTGGGTCCCTCGCCTGGGTTTTGTCCGCATGGTCAGATTTGAGGATTTCGCGCGGCTCTCTTGCAGACTGACGGATTTCGCGCGGTTCTCTCGGAGCGGCGCTCCTCGCGCCAGGGACGGGGTCCCATTCCTCGACCTGCACCCTCCGCGCCTTCCGCGCAGGATGCTGCCGCGCCGGCCGCGGCCGCCACTTCGCCTTCGACCATGGCCGCGGCAGCACGACATTTGCCGCGCGGCAGGTGCAGAATGTGCAGGTCGAGGGAGATCCCATCCCACTGGGTTGGGCGCAGGGGGAGGGGATTGGGGGTTGATCAGTGTACGCCAAAGGGATTGTTATATCTGGCATATCCTGGCCTATAAATGGGTTACACATGTCCCAAGTGGCTTGGGGGGATTCGACAACTCCGCTAAGTGGGCAGAGCCCACTTAGCCCGGATCGCTATCCCCCCAAGCAACTTGGGGCATTCGCAATTCACTATAGCTGACTGAGGTTAGGCCAGATCGATCCCGATTGTTCATTGTTTTGCCGATCGATGCGGGCCCTCGCACCCCCCCCCCTCCCCCCGCCCCTTGGAATAGATCTTGGCCGTGTTGGGCGCCCTGTTTCGAGCAGGTGGAGTCCCCCCTCATAGGACGCACGGTTCCAAGCAGTCGCACTAAGCAGAGGCTCGCCGCCAGACCCCCCCCCTCCACCCCCTCTTCGCCTAAGCTCGAAACGCCGAAAAAAAAAACGCTCATCCGCCCCCCTATCGCCTTGCCTTGACAACCCCCACGCCCATCCCGGCAGCACTCCCGCGCGGAGCTCCGGCAGCCTGCGCTGATGCTGCCGCTTCTTCCTCCGCGTGCTGGTAGGCCATGGCGTGGCGGCTCGGCTCGCCCGCGCATGGCGGCGGCGGCGACCTCGGCCCGCTCTCCGGCGGCGGCCTCGGCGCGAGCCTCTGGAGCGGCGGCTTGCCGGGCCTGGGCGCTGCTGCGGTCGGCGAGGGCGGCCTCGGCCCAGGGCGCGGCCCGCTTGGCTCCCGAGGGGAAGACCGCGACACGCGCACAGCAGCTCGTGAGATTCCTCGTGGACGTCTGGGCAGATCTGCGCGGCACAGGGAGGGGGGAGTAGAGCGTCCGCGGGCTGTTGGGGAATTCGGGGTTTCATGGGATTTGTTTGGGAGTTCCTGGTGTCCCCTTGGGCCCCGCCAGGCTTCGGGCGCGAGGGCCCCGCGCCCGGCGACCGCCTGGGCGGTGGCCTGCTGCTGGGCGGCTCCGACCGCGGCGAGCGGCTGGGCGCCGGTGGCGGCCTCGGCCTCGGCCTCGGCGGCGCGGCGCTGGGGGGCGATGGCCAGAGGAGGGGAAAATTGCCAATGCCAGTGCTCGTCCTGGAGATCTGTCGTCGCCACGGCTGGATTCTCCGCGATATCCTGGTCAGAACGCGCCCCAGGAGAGGTCCTTGGAATAGCGGTTTGGTGCCTCCCAGACCCCCGACGTCGTGATTTTTTCGTGACGTGACCCCCAGGAGCCTGGACCCCTTCCAGGGGACCGGTTTTTCATCCTGAGCCGTTTTATGACAGCCCCGAGATCTGGAGGTGGAAAATAGCGAAGAACCTCCCGTCGTGCTTTTTTCGCAGCGCGAGGAGGTCTGGGCTGCTTGCCCCCCCCCCCCCACACCACCAGGCAGCGGCCTCGGCTTCGGCCTCGGCGGTGCGCCGCCAGGGGGCGACGGGCGCGGCCCGCTGCTCGGCGGCTCTGCCTGCGGCGGCTGCCACTTCGGCGGCCTCGGCGCCACGGCGCTGGGGAGCTACGAGCGCGAGTCGCCCGGGGGCGGCTGCGGCCTCGGCGGCGGCTGCGGCCTCGGCGGCGGCTGCGCCGCGACGGGCGGCAGCTGCGGCCTGAGCGCCTGCGGCTCCACCTGTGGCGGTTGCCACTTCGGCGGCCTCGGTGCCTCGGCGCCGGGGATCGCAGGAGGAAAAGGTGCCCCCACCCCAATCTTTGCCTAGGCCCTCGTCGCCACCGCCGGATTCGCCTCAAAGTCCTGGTCAGAAGGCGCCCTGGGAGAGAGAGGTCCGGGGAGTAGCGGTATAGGTGCCCTCTCTGGTGTCCCTAGGGGAGCTACGAGCGCGAGTCGCCCGGGGGCGGCTGCGGCCTCGGCGGCGGCTGCGCCGCGGCGGGCGGTGGCTGCGGTTTCGGCGTCAGCAGCGCCGCGGCAGGCGGAGGTTCTGGCCCCGGCGGCGATTGGCGCCTCGGCGCAGCAGCCATGGCCGATCAGCCGCCGCAGGGGGTCTGCGGCCTTGGCGCGCCGGGCGGCGGCTCGCGCTTTGGCGCCATGGCCGCGGCGGCTCAGCTGCAGGAAGGCCAGGCCGACGAGGACGACGGCGTCTATCGGAAGGACCGGGGTGGGGCTCTATATATTATGTTGGCGTCCGGGGTGGTGTCCGAGTAATCATGCAGATGGGGTCGTGGGATCACGCCGCATTGCCGATGCTTCGGCGATGCGGTTCGATGTGGGAACACCGTTGTTTTCCACGCTGGCGTCGGCGATGCATCGCCAGCGTCGCTGCCGCATCGCCGATGCGTCGGCAATGTATCAGCGATGAGTTTCAGGAGCGGAAGAAGATCGTACACAATCATGAATCCACGCTGGTTTCGAGAGTGCGCATTGCGCAAACGCTCGTATCGTTTGGCTTGTCTCGGGGACGGGATGTCCACTTTCATGTACGTGGCTGGGCACGTACGTCCTTTGTGGGCTTCTCAGAACTGGTGATGTGGCACGATCGTCCGACCCCATCTGCTCGGGGGGGCTTCCCGAGAGTGGCCCCAGGTGGGAGGGGGGCGGCCTGCCGAAGTCCAGCGGCGCTCGCTGGCTTCGGGCGGGTGGTGATGGGGGGACCTACAGCGGGGGCGAAGGAAAGGACCTTAATAGGGGGCCCCTTCGGGGCCCCTGCTGGCTCCAAAGGGGGCCACCACTGGCTCCGAATGCCTTCGTGAGAGCTGTGGTGGACCTTGACTGAACGTGCACACCACAGCTGGGATGGGCGCGGGGGGTGCTAAGGGGATAGGGGGTGGGGGTTATCTGTGAATGCCAAGGTGGGTTATATCTGGCCTGACCTAGCTCGTTGGTGGATTGCTAATGCCCCAAGTGGCTTGGGGGGGATAACGATCCAGGCTAAGTGGGCGCCGCCCACTTAGCGGAGTTGTCTTATCCCTCAAGCCATTCGCGGCATTTGCAGCCCACATGTAAGCTAGGTTAGGCCAGAAATGATCCACCTTGGCATCGACTGATTTCCACCCTATCCCTTTAGCAACCCCAGCGCCCATCACAGGCCCTCCTCCCCCTCACAGTCCAGCGCCGTTCCAAAAGATCCGCGCGGGCCTCCGAAGGTCGATGCCTGTGCGGTCCTGTCGTCCCGTGCATGCGATGTTTTGACCTCTTCAATGCGCGGTCCTCAGAAGTCCCGACCCTTTTCCCATGAGCTGCTTTTCATTCTCAGGGCCGTTTTTGGACAGTCCCAGGGCCCGCCAAAGGGCAACTAGAAAATAGACGGCAAAAACTACAAAACAGCTCAATCCTGATTTTGGTCAAGACGTTGCACCCCTGGTTTTCTGAGTTGCCCTGCTCGACACGCAACCAGGAGCATGTTGTCACGTGGCTCAACTCGTATATTGGAATCGTGTGCCCGGCGGCATGCATTCGCCAAAGCGTAGGCCTACGTGCTGGATTGATACGCAACGTCTCGACCCGGCAAGTTTCAACACGGCACGTACTGCGTTTCAAGTCAGGCGCCTCAGGGCAGCGAAGCTGTTTTTTGTCCACGCGGGGGTCTCAGGGCAAGCTCGGATATAGCTTGGTCACCGGGCAAGGGAAACCCGTTAGTGATTGGACCCCGAGGCCCCCCCACAATGCCAGAATCATCATTACAGTCAACCCGCATAGCAAGGGCGGGTAATTTTCCCAACGGGATCCTTGCATCCTTGCCTCCTCGGTCCATCCTTTGTCACTTTCGTTGGCAACGTCTCGTTCGAAAAGCTTCGAAATGGGCGTCCAAGGCCTTTGCATCCTTATCGCGCATCCTTGCTATACGGTTGACTGTAGCTAGGACCCTGGGCAAGGGGAACCCGTTAGTGATTGGGCCCCAAAGCCCCCCCAAAATGCCAGGCCCACTAAGCCGAGACTGCCGTCACTGGTGTGTGTGTGTGTGTGTTTTTTGGGGGCGGGGGCGGCAGTTCCGCTTAGTGGAATGGGGCGGGGGGTCGTCCCCCAGTGCGCCTATCATTCAACCGGGTCCTTCTGAACTCAGTCCCGCCAGCACCCGCAAAGTGACGAAACAATTCAATCCTGATGTTGGTCAAGACGTTGCATGTCTGGGTGTTGCTCCTGCGGAAGTCTAGCCTTCCCTGATGGGGTCGGAGTGGATGGATCCGAGGATTCCTCCGCATCGCCGATGCATCGGCGATGCGGCTCGATGTGGAGCCTGACTTTCTCCACGTCGACGGCGCCGACTTAACCCCGACGTCGCTGGCGCATCTTCGATACGTCGCTGATGTATCGACGCTGCGGCGGGCGACCCTCCGACCCCATCTACAGTCGGCCCTGATTAGTAAGGTCGACCCTGCCAAATCGCATGTGCCTCGCGACCCATAGCTCCCGCATTCCTGTGACAATGTGGCCCTCGGAATGGTGTTGTGTCCTCTTGCGCGTCCTGCCCAACGAAGTCCGACTGCACAGTCGAAAACCACGCCAAGACACCCTGCTTGCCCCTAGGGTGCCCCTGGTTTCTCGGGTTTCGATGGTTTTGCTGTGGGGAGCGTGACGCTCCCACACCAGAAGTCAAGGGACTCCTCGTGGTCTCGGGGTTGGTGTTCGTTTGGAGGGCTTTTTGTGGTCGAGCTCCTACTGTACTTGGACCCCATCCGGGGGCCTCTACTGGGATGGGCGCGGGGCGGTGCTAACCCGATAGTGGGTTATCAGAGGACGCCAAGATAGGATATACCTGGCCTGGCCTAGCTCATGAAGTGGGTTACGCATGCCCCAAGCGGCTTATGTGAGATTGGACAACTCCGCTGAGTGGGCGGAGCCCACTTCGCCTGGATCGCTATCCCCCCCAAGCCACTTGGGGCATCAGCAGCCCGCTAATGAGCTAGGTTAGGCCAGGTATAACCCACCTTGGCATCCACTGATAACCCAGACTCTGGACGTCGTGATTTTTTCATGACGTGACCCCTAGGAGCCTGGACCCGTTCCCGTGGACCGGTTTGTCATCCTGAGTCGTCTTTTGACAGTCCCGAGGCCTGGCGAGGGCCCTTTGAGGCCGAAAATAGCGAAACACTTCCCGTCGTGAGTTGTTCACAACGCGAGGAGGTCTGGGAACCCCCTTTCTCTTTTCTAGCAGCCCCCGCGCCCATCCCAGCGAGGAGACGATCGAGATGAACTGGCGACCCGGCGACGACAGGCGGGGGCACTCGCGGTCGCCCGGCCGCAGCCCTTCCCCTGGCCGTCGGGGCGGCCTCCGGCCGGGCACCGCCCTGCCGCGGCGGGCGTCCAGGCCGGCGGACTCGGGCATCCCGTTCGGGAGGCACAGCAACAGCCCCGAGGCTCGCTCCTCCTCCTCCTCCTCCTCCTCCTCCTCCAACTCCTCCTCCTCCTCCTCCTCCTCCTCCTCCTCCTCCTCCTCACCATCATCATCATCATCATCATCATCATCCATCATCATCATCATCATCATCATCTCATCCCTCCTCCTCCTCCTACTCCTCCTCCTTCTCCTCCTCCTCCTCCTCCCCCCTCCTCCTCCTCCTCCCCTTCCTCCTCCTCCTCCTCCTCCTCCTTCTCCTCCTCCCTCCTCCCCCGAGGCTCGCCAGGGAGGAAGCTCAGTTTCTAGGCCTACTAAATGAGGTCCGACCAGATGGGGTCGACGGATCGCGCCGCATCGCCGATGTGTCGACGCTGCGGCCCGATGCAGGTTGATGTCGCCGAGGCATAGCAGGCGTCGCCGACGCGTCGCCGATGCATCGGCCTCGGGCCATGAAAAGATCACGACGGGTGGCTTTTGGTAGTCTTCGGGCTCCAGGGTGGCCCTTGCCGAGGGCCTGGGCACCGTCGAAAGAACTGCTCGGGATGAAGAGCAGGCCCCAGGAAAGGGACTACTTCTGGGGGCCGGCATCATGCAAACATCATGACGTTGGGGGTTTGGGAACGGCTAGAGTCGAAGAAGAACCACTTGCCTACATGTATCGAAGACGCCTACTGCGAATCACCGCCGCCCCCTTCCTTCTAGAATCGCCCACGTTGCCGAGCGTTGTGGCACGAACTCCGCCAAGCTATCGAACCATGTGCTTCCCCAACCGTTGTGGAAACCCTTCGGAGAGCACTTTGGTGAGGATGGCGGGGAAGATCAAGAGGAGGCGGAGGAGGAGGTGGAGGTGAGGAGGAGAAGGATGAGGTTGAGGAGGAGGAGGAGGAGAAGGAGGAGGAGGCGGAGGAGGAGGAGGAGGAGGGGGAGGAGGAGGAGGAGGAGGAGGAGGAGGAGGAGAGGAAGAGGGAGGGAAGAGGAGGAGGAGGAGGAGGAGGAGGAGGAGGAGGAGGGAGAGGAGGAGGAGGGAGGAGGAGGAGGAGGAGGAGGAGAGGAGGGGGCATCTTGGCAGCCTATCCACTCTGAGGGCCTCCTGGGAGTGCAGATATGTATGCCCACGATAGCGCTGGTGTTCCCACGTGTCGATCGTGGTGGGATGGCGTGCGGACCCATACGCGGATTGATATGACGCTAGACTTGCCTCGGCTAGAATCGCGTGCACCCAAGACGGCCAAAGAGAGCCCCAAGAGGGAGTCAAGCTGAAATTGGCCCCCCCCCCGCCACAAGTGGGCCCCCGAGGCCGCCATCAGGCCCCCAAGAGGCTCCCAATGCGCCCTCACAGGCCCCCAAAGAGGCCCCAATGGTCCCCCAAACGCTCTCCAAGAGGCCCCGAGAAGCTTCGAGTCTCGCTCCACGAGGCGCCCAAGAAGCCTGTCAAGAGACACCTCTATGCAGTCATGTGTAGCTCAGGGCGCTGGCAGCGGGCTGCTGCGGAGCACGTCTGCACGGGAGCGCTGAACTCTTCGTGGGTCACGGTCCACGTGAAGGGTGTGCCGAATGATTCGGATGCCCCCGCGCGAACACGCCCGCTGAGGCTGATGGTGGAGCTCCTCAGAGCACGACCCGTGCGAGGCATGTTCCAAAAAGGGCGGAGGAACGCCATGCGAAGCTGCTCACTGGTGCCATAGGTGGAGCTCCTTTGGGGCATGACTCGCGTGACGGGACCCTGCGAAGTTGGCCAGCATGGTTCGATATCGAGGCCTTCATATGCGTTGAACGATGCCAGTTCTGGAGCGCGTCTTTCAAGGATGTAAGCGGCTGATTTCGGTCGTCTTGCGGGCCTCTCGGGGGAATCCTGGGCCGTCTTAGTGTGTTGATGGCCCGCCAGACGCATCCGGCAATTGTCTTAGGAGCCTCGGGTGCTGTAATGGGATGTTTCGTTGTAGGGTCGTCTTGGTGCCCTCTTGGTGCTGTCTTCTGGACCTCCTGGGATCCATGTTGTGGCGCTTTGGCCGTCTTGGGATCATCGGGGGCCTCTTCGGCCGCCTTCAGACTTTTGGACCCTCTTTGGCCGCTGGGAACTCGAAAAGGTGAGAAAGCGAACACCATTCTAGGGTTAAACCAATCAGTCTTTGGGTTTCTTCAGGCTGTCTGGGTAACCTCCAGGCCATCTTGGCCGTCTTGGATCTTGGAGGCATTTCGGGCTACATTGCCGGCATCCTGGGGCCGCCGTGCCATCTTGGAGGCCCCATGTGACCGTCTTGGGCCGTCATGGCCCGTTTTGCGGACAAGTTTCGGCCATGCTGACTGGCCTAGGGGCGAGTGGTCTTGATGCTGGGTGCTGTGTGCGGCGGCGGCGGGCGGGCCGAGCGCCTCAGGGAATACTTTGGACGGGCCGGCCGTGTCAGAAGACTTGCAAGGCCGCGCACTCCTCCCGCAAGCAGCAGGGGGCGACGGATCGGAGACGCCCACGGCGAGTCACCGCCATTCCCTGCTTTTTGGGGAAGCGCCTGTGTGTCCAGCCGCCGGGGAAGACTGGGCAAGCTCTTGGATCGCGTTCTGTCCAACCTGTGTACAGGCTGTTGGGGGAGCATTGGGCCGCCTTTGGGGGGGGAGGGGACCTTCTCGGGATATCTCGGGGGCCTCTTTGGGAGCCTCTTGTTGAGGATCTCTTTGGGGCCTCTGGGGGCGTCAACTGAACTTGGTTGGCCGGTTTGAAGCCATCTTAGGGCGTCTAGGGGCTTCTTTTGGTCGTCTTCAAGCCACCTTGAGGCTTTGAAAGGCAGAGCCCGCCCTCCTGGGATTGAAGGGTTGCCCATGGTGCGCTTGAAAAGGAAGATGAAACGCAAGAGAACAGGACACTTCAAAAAGGACCATTGAGCGTCAGAAGGCCAACGATACCCAGATGTCGCAAGAGGTTTCCAAGACGTTCCAGGATGGCCTTCAGACGGTCAACAAGCCCGTAGGACTCCCAAGGGGAGTTGTTCGGTTTTATATAAAAACACGCTATATTCAATACCTGTCCCCCGATGCCGAACACTTTAGACTTCACTCAGAGCTTGCTAGATCCTAAGCGTACGCGAAGCGCTCACGGTTCTAGTAAACATACAGGTTCGGAGCTGGGCCCTCGTTTGTCGTGGGTTCCTTGGATCGGCGCTGAGTCCCCCCTGCGGCGCCCCAGGCGCTGGCGCGCTCTGTGCGCCAGGGAGGGGGGGGGTACAGCGTCGATCCAAGAAATCCGCTCGGAGCTCCGAAAGTTCATGTTCATGCAGTTGTTGCTTCCTCCACTGAGGGAGGCGGGTCCTGGAGGATCGTCCTCGTTTTTGTTGGACCCTCGGGTCCCTGCGACTCTGGGACCGTCCCACGGCCCCAGACTTGGGGCACACGCAACCCACTTGTAAGCTAGGTTAGGCCAGGTGTAACCCCTTGGGCGTCCACCCGTAACCCTGTATTCCCTTAGCACTCCCCGCGCCCATCCCAGTGGAGACCCGTTCCCCTCAGGGCCCGCTTATTTCATTGTGCAAGGTGAACTACGAGCTGATGAGCGACGCCGCGAGACCGTTTCGGGTGAGAAGCCCGTCCCGGCGCGACCAGGATCCTGGACGTCCAAGTGGGGTCGAAGTGAATGGGGCCAGTGCATCTCACCGCATCGCCGATGCATCGGCGGTGCATCGAGGATGCGTCCCGATCCTTCGATCCGATCTCCTCTGACCCCATTCTCACCGGAGGGCTAGATGGGACAGCGGCAGTTGGCCTTTGGGGGCCTCCTCGTCGCCACGGCGGGACGCAGCTGTGAAGTCTGGTGCGCTTGGACCCTGGGACGGGTCGGGGGACAGATTTTTTGAGCTACCGTTGTGTCAACTCGCCCTTTTTACCCAGACCCCCGACGTCATGATTTGTTCATAACATCGACCCTCAGAGGTCTCGACCATTCCTCTGGACTGGTCTTCCATCCTGCGTTGTTTTTGTTGACGGTCCCGAAGGCCAGTAAGGGGCTCCAGAGGCCGAGAATTTGGAACAACCTCCCGTCATTGTTTTCTAATTAACCGAGGGGGTCTGGGTCCGACACTTGGGCTGCTCCCAATGAGGAGAGGGTGGCGGAAGCACTGAAGGATCTGCTGGCCCACAAGGATCGGGGATTGCGAAAGGTGCCCTTGGCCCAAGGTGCCCTCAGTTTTTCGGTCAGTTTTGGAGCGCCCGGGTTCTCTGGGCCTCGTGAGGGGTGCTCTGGAGGCCGTGGGGGCCTCCCTGGAAGTCCTGGGAGCACCTTGGGCCAGGGGCACTTCTAGCAACACCCGAGAGGACAGGCTCGGGCAGAGCGTCGTCGACGCCTTCCAGGACGCCCTCCGGGGCACCATCGTCGACGCCTGCAACCGGGAGGTGCGGAGCGACCAGGTCGGAGCCCCCGGGCCAAAGGATCCCGCCAAACCAGGACGCTGGCGCGCCCGAGAGACCCACCCAGACATGCGACGTCCTGATTTATTCAGGACGGCCTCCCTGGATGTCCTGACCCGTTCCCCAGGACCGGTTTGTCATCCTGAGTCCTTCTTGACGGCCCTGGGGCCCGGCGAGGGCCCCCCGGGGCCGAAAACAGTGAAAAACTTGCGTCCTGCATTTTTTACAACGCGATAGTGTCTGGGCAGACTTTTCGGATTATGGAAAAACACGACGGGCGTTTTTTGCTATTTGCGGGCTCCCGGGGCCCTCGCCCTGGAACCGTCAGAAACGTTTCAAGACGAAAAGCGGTCCCCTGGGGAGGGGTCCAGGCTCCTGGCCAGGCTCCTGGGGGTCACGTCATGGAAAGATCACGACGTCGGGGGTCTGGGGAGTTGCAGCCGTGGGTCGAGACAGCCTCCATTCGTCTTCGTTTTTGTTGTATACCGCACCCTCCCCATCCCGGTCAGATTCCACCCGACGGGGCCACGTTCAGTGTACAGAAGCCGCGCCGCAGGGAGAGAGTCTCGTATGCCAAACCAGGACCAGGAGCCTCGCCCACCCCCTCGGGCTTTTGGGCACATGAAGCAAACTTTTCTGGCGGACGTTCGTCCTCTCCAGGTGCAATGTTCAAAGTCCTGGTTGGCAAAGTCCTGGTTTACAGTCGGAAGCTTTTGCTCAGCGTGTCGCGCCGCCCGTTCTGGCCCACCACGCTTCGGCGCGACCCTGTCCACCTCCCAGTCCCCGGGCTGCAACGTCCCGAGCCTCTCCGAGCCTCCGCCCCGCGGAGCGGAGCGACACGCTGTCCACTCGCAGGGCGCAGCGTGCCGCCGGGGTCGCCGTCGCGACAAGGCTGAGCAAAAGCCCCTGCCCCCGACAGCTGACTTGTCGGTTTTTGCGAGGCGCGGGCGCCCGACCTCTCGACCACTTCCCCAGGGTCCCGAGGCCCGGTAAGGGCCACGAGAGGCCGCAAACCCAGACCCCCGACGTCATGTTTTTTTTTTTGTTCATGACGTCGACCCCCAGAGGTCGGGACCCCTTCCCCTGGACCGGTTTTCCATCCTGAGTCGTTTTTTGACGGTCCCGAGGCCCGGCGAGGGACCGAAAATATTTGGGAAAACCTTCCGGCACGATTGTTTCATTGCCCGAGGGGGTCTCGGAGCGAGGAAACACCTCCCGTCTCGTTTGTTTTCGAGACGCTGCATGTCCGGGGGGCCCGGGGGGGGGGCCCAGCAGGTGCTGGGCATCGCGCCGGTGCTCGCAGAGAGGCTGGGCCTGCCCGAGTGGGTCTTCGACGGCCTCGAGGGCGTCCGCGCCCTCGGCGGCCGCCGGCCGCGCGCGGGCCAGCGGCGGTGCGGCCTCTAGCGATCGAAGGCGGCGCGCGGCTCGGCCGGGTCGCGAAGGGGCCCGTTGAGCTCCCCAGACCCCCTCGGGTAATGAAAAAATCCGGACGGAAGGTTTTCCCTAATTTGTTCGGCCTCCGAGGGCCCTCGCTGGGCCTCGGGACCGTCAGAAAACAACTCAGGACAGCAAGCTGGTCCCGGGGAAGGGGTCCAGACCTCTGGGGGTCGACGTCATGACAAAATCCTGACGTCGGGGGTCTGGAACATCCGACGCTCCAGCAAAAATTGGGGCGCGCGGCTTTCGGCGGTTTTCGGCCTCCGGGGGCCCTCGCCGGGCCCTGCTGGCCTGGGCGGGGGGGTTGCTGGGGTGATAGGGGGATTATCAGTGGAGGCTCAATGGGGTTAATAACACCTGGCCGAACCTAGCATGCAAGCGGGTTACACATGCCCCAAATGGCTCAGGGGATTAGACAACTCCGCTAAGTGGGCGGAGCCCAAATGGCCTGGAACGCTATCCCCCCCAAGCCACTTGGGGCATTTGCAGCCCACTGAGCTAGGTTAGGCCAGGTATATCCCACCTTGGCGTCCACTGAGAACCCCCCCCATTCCCCTTGGCAGCCCTGGCGCCCATCCCGGTGGGAGTGTCCAGGAAGGACTCGATCTCGAGACGACAAGCCGGCCCCACAGGGAGGTCGTCGAGGCCTCCAGGGCCCTCGCCGCACACAGAGTTGGAGCAGCCGGATGTCTGGGGGGCCCGGCCTGGCCGCGCGGGTCGGCGGGTCACGGGGCGCTCACGCCGCATCCGCCGACTCCCCCTGGGGCTCCCTCGCCTCCCCCGGCCTCCAACGCAGCTTTGGGTCGGGCATGGCCCCCAAACGCGCGGATTTTGGGGGACATATCCAAAGCGTATTGGAACAGCGTCCCCAGACTATTTTTTGACTTTTGACTATTTTTGAACACTTCCTGTAGAGGGACGTGCCCGACTTGAACGCAGCTATCCCAGACTCCCTCGGGTGATGCACAGATTCACTGTGTCGGGAGGTTTTCCAATTTTTGTTCGGCCTATGGAGGCCCCTGCTGGCCCTCGGGGCCGTCAAAAGAGGGCTCGGGGCGGAACACCGGGGTCGACGTTCTGAACGAATCCTGACGTCGGGGGTCTGGGAGCGTAGTTATTGACGGGTTTGATTCGGAGGGTTTCCCCCTCCTCGGCCTCCGGGGGCCCTCGCCAGGCCCCGGGGCCGTCGAAAAACGGGCTTGGGATGACGAGCCGGCCCACGGGGAAAGGGTCGGGACTTGCGGGGACCGCGCACTGAACAAAGCAATACCTCGGATCTCTGGGTCCACTCGCTGCGAAGAAGCCACGGCGGGAGGTTTTTGTTGGCCGCATTCGGCCTCCGGGGACCCGTCAAGAAGCGCGTTCCCGGGGAAAGGGTCCAGATCTCCTGGTGTCCACGTTGCGACAAAAATGAGACGCTGGCGTCCTGGAAACAGCCTGGCAATCGGCTCGGTCTGGTGGCGCGATCGGCTGATCACGGAGCTTATCCGGCCTCCGCCGACTCCTTGGGGGTGTTCTGGTCATTTCTGCAGAGTCCAGTCCAGGGGCAGTCCTGGTGTCCTGTTCTGGATGACACGTCGAGGGGATGTCTTCGCCCCAGGGGCTCTGAAGTCAAGCTGGCTTTGAGGACGAAGGTGATGGTGAGGAGCAGCTGGACAGGAGCAGGTGAGGAGGAAGGTGGTGGAGATGAGGAGGACAAACACAATATTTCGACCCTAACCCTCCTGTGTTGTTGGGTTCTGCTTTTCTCTCCGCAGAGCCGCGCGTCCCGTCCGTCTCCTTCTCCTTCTTCGTCTCCCGCATCCTTCCCCTCTCCGTGTCTCTGCTTTCCGTCCTCACGTCAATTCGCATACTCCTCGCACGGATCGCCTCCATGCCCCAGAGGGAGGGTCCACATGCGTGTTCCCCAGTCCACTTGTGCACATAAGCACAAATCACGAGGATTGTACCCCACAGGGAGCACCTCCTGCGACCTCAGTGGGAGTGTCCACATGCGTCCTCCCGCCCGTTTCGGCACGCCCCTCACACGAGGATCGTGCCCAGCAGGGAGCTCCACAAGCGACCCCGGCGGGAAGGTCCGCCTGTGTCCTCCCGCCGCATTTCGGCGCACCCCTCACGCTTCGCGCACCACATGAAGCTCCACCTAGGGCCCCAGCGGGAAGGTCCACATGCGCCCCCCAGCCAATTTGGACACCTCACGAGGGTCGTGCCGTGCCCCGCAGGGAGCTCCCCCTACGACTCCAGTGGGAGGTGCCACTTGCGTCCTCCCGCCCATTTCGAGACACCCCTCACGCTTCGTGAACCACATGGAGTTCCACCTGCGGCCCCAGCGGGACGGTCCACATGCGCCCCCCGGCCCAGGTGGGCACATACACACACACACACACACACACACACGCACGCGCGCACGCGCACACGCACGCACGCACGCACGCACACGCACACGCACACGCACACACACACACACACACACACACACGCACATGCGCACGCACGCGCACGCGCTCTCGCACGCGCACGCGCACCCGCACACGAACATGCACACCCCCACACACGCACACGCACAACACCCGCACACCCGCACACAAACACACACACACACATACGCACACGCACACGCACACTCGCACGCGCACGCGCACGCACACGCCCACGCACACACACACGCACCCGCACATGCACACGTGCACGCGCACACACACACGCGCACGCGCACGCGCATGCTCACGCACACGCACATGCCACACGCACACGCACACCTCACTCGCAAACGCAAAAACGCACACGCACACGCACACGCACAGCACACGCACACGCACACACACACACGCACACACACACGTACACGCACACGCACACACACACACATACACACGCTAACGCGCAGGCGGAATACGCGCACGCGCACAGCGCACTTGCGCGCGCACGCGCACACACACGCGCACACGCACACGCACACGCACACGCACGCGCGCACACGCATACGCACACGCACACACACACACGCAACCGCACCCTACCCACGCACGCACGCGCACAAGCACACACGCACACACACGACACGCGCACACACCACACAAGCACAAAACACACGCCACACGCACGCATACACTCACGCACGCACACACACGCGCACACGCACACACGCGCACACGCGCACAACGAGCGCACACGCGCGCACACGCACACGCGTGCCTACGCGCACACACCCATGACACCGCGCACATAGCGCACAACACGCACACACGCGCACACGCACACACACACACACACACACACACACACACACACACACACACACACACGCACACGTGCACACACGCAACGCTTTGCATGGTTGATCGGGCTGTGGGGCTCGGTCGGGGCGGCCCTGGTGGCTGCCGTGTGTACAGCTTGGCTGTGCGCACTAGCACGTCAAAAAAAAAACGCCCACACGCACGCACGCACGCACGCACGCACCCACGCACGTACGCACGCACGCACACACGCACACACGCACACACGCGCACTCGCACACACGCACACACGAACACACGCACACACGCGCTCACACACACACACACACACACGCGCGCACGCGCGCACAAACACCCACACATGCACACACGCGCACACACGCACACACGCACGCACGCACGCACGCACACACGCACACGCACACACCCGCACACACGCACACGCACACACACACACACACACACACACACCACACACACACACACACGCGCACAGACACACGCACACACACAACGCACACACACGCACATGCGCAACGCACACACACGCACACACGCACACACGCACACACGCACGCACGCACGCACAAACTACGCACACACGCACAAACGAACACAACGCACACACGCGCCCTCTCTCTCACACACACACGCGCACAGACACACACGCGCACAGACACACACACACACACATGCACACACGCACACACACGCACAAACGCACGCACGCACGCACACACGCACACGCGCACACACGCACACACGCACAGCCCCGCACACGCACGTACGCACGCACGCACGCACGCGCACACACACAACCGCACACGCACACACGCACACGCGCAAGCGCACACACGCACACACGCGCACACACACGCACACGCACAACAACACGCGCACACGCACACACACGCACACGCACGCACGCACGCACGCACACATGCACACACGCACACACGTACGCGCACGCACGCACGCGCACGCACGCCGCGCACGCGCGCACTCACACACACATCCACACACACACCCACACACACCCACGCACACCAACACACACCCACACACCCACACACCCACACACCCACAACCCACACACACACACACACGCAACGCACGCACGCGCGCGCACACGCACACACGACGCACGCACGCACGCACGCACACACGCACCACACACGCACACACACGCGCACACGCGCACACGCACACACGCACACACACGAACGCACACACACACACACACGCACACACAGACATACACACAACAGACACCATTCAACACACACGCACGCACACGCACAACACACAACACACACGATACACACGCACACGCGCACACACGCGCACACTTGCACACACACACACACACGCACCACGCACACACACACACGCATGCACGCACACACGCATACACGCACACGCACACACACACACACGCACACACGCACATGATCACACGCTCACACACACACACCACCCGCACATACACACACGCACACATCTACACACCTACGCACACCTACACACACCTACACACACCTACACACACCTACACACACCTACACACACCTACACACACCTACACACACCTACACACATTCACACGTACCTACACACATCTACACATGCCTACACATACCTTCACACCTACACACACACGGCCGCTTTCGCTGGCCGCGCCCCGCTCGCAAAGTGTCGGCATGGCCTTTCGAGGCCCTTGCATCCGTATCGCGCATTGGCTGTTGTACGGTTCGTGCACTACGTTCGCTCTACGGCTCCAGTTGGAGCGTCCACTTGCGTCCCTCCGCCCCTTTAGGCACACCTGTCACTAAGTCTTGTGCCCCACAGGGTTCGCTGCCTGACTCCCTTCTCGATCCGCTCGGCGGCGCGCAGTCTGTCAAGAGAAGACCATGGCCTCTGCCACGCGCAGCTGCATAGGTTTGGCCTCTTCGCCAGGCTGTGCTTGAGGATCTGAGCTCTGTGGGACGTCCGAGGGCCTCCTGGGCCTTCACCTGGAGCCCCCTGGAGCTATATCTTATACGGGACCTCTCTAAGGCCTCTTGTGCTCTCTACTGGGGCCGTTTGGGGGGCCTGACTGAAGGCATCTTGGGGCCTTCCTGGGCCGTCTCAGGGTGTCCAGGGACCTCTGAGCGCCTTCTTTCAAAGGAGGAAAAACCACCCCGACCCGGCGATTGGTGTTTACTAAACGGCCCTAGGCGTTTACTAAACAGCCCTGCCTTGTTTGATTCCTTCTTTGGGTGCGTTTACTAATCGGCTTCGCGTGTCGGGGTGATTATCATGGGTGTGGATGTTCTGCCTTCTACCGTTGTCATCTTGACGCCCCCAGGGGGCCGCCCATGGCCGTCTGGGCGACTCCTCGCCTCTCCTGGGCCGTCTTGGGGGCCCAGGCCTCTCCTGGGGGCTGTCCCGGGGCACTGTTCGGGGCGCCCCCGAGGAGGGCCTCCCTTTCGAGGGTCGAAGGACCCAGATTTCCTCGCGTCGTGGCAAAATCACGGCCGGAAGTGTTTCGCCACTTTCGGCCTCCGGGGGCCTTCGCCGGGCCTCGGGACTGTCAACGAAACGACTCGGGATAAAAAGCCGGTCCCCGGGAAGGGGTCCAGGCTCCTGGGGGTCACGGCCAGAAACAATCACGACGTCGGGGGTCTGGGGAGTTGACATCTCTCACTCGGCGGAAGGCCGGCGGAAGTAGAACGAACGGGGGCGGCTCCGCTGGCGGAGGATCGGCGGGAGGCGTCGGAAGCAGAGCCAGTCCCCCAAGAGTTGTCCACAGTTTGGGGGCTCATGGTTTCTGGAACCCGCCAGTTAGCGCTCCAGGGCGTCTCGCGCGACCGGCGCGCTGTCGGGGCGGCAGCAGCTGTGGTCGGGGGTGTCGTCTTCGTCTCCGTTTTCGTTGTCGTCGTTGTCGTCGTCGTCGTCGTCGACGACAGAGGATCGGGGCTCAAGGATCGGGACCCGCGGCCAGCTTGGCCTCGTGATTCGTGGCGGACCGAGGTCGTCCAGAACTTCGATTTCGACGGCAACGGGATGACGGACGAGCTGGAGGCGAAGAGAATGTTTGAGGTGTGGTTAACGCAGAAGATGATCGAGCTTGGGGGCCGGGTCGAGGACCCGCCCGAGAAGACGCCTCAAGAGGCGGGGTATTATTTCGAGAAAGAGATCGGGCGTGGAGCGCATGGAATTATGTATTTGTGCGAGAAGGTCCAGGGCATCCCTTATCTCTTCTTCCCTCTCTCTCAGCCCCTCCTTCCAGTGTGCACCTCCCTGCTTGACACATTGTATGTCTTCAAGTGACGGTTTGTCAGTACAGCTCCCTTAGTCAGTATTCGTGCCCACTTTCCTGCAGACCTCGCTGTCCTGTTGTCGATCAGCGGGTCAAGTTTGGCTTGATCACATGCATCCAAGTTCGACGTGGCTAGGTACCTCTGAATTGTCTGATCGGCAGAATGGGTGCACGATTGCGCAACGTGGGGGATTGCATTTTCTTCGGAACCAGCTGACAGGGAGTTGCCTGCGAACGTGAAAGTCTACACCAGTTTTTCGTTCTCGATCTCAACGCAGCCTGGTAACCCTATCCGCGTCTGCAGGGGGTGCTCGTTGAATATAGGGTTCGGTGGCCGTCAGTATTGAGAAGGGGAAGCTAGTGAACAAGGCTTTTTTTTGTGGGGTGGATCCCAGACAAGGCCTCCTTGAGGGCACTCAATGGTCACTCAAGAGCTCCCCCATTACATGTGTCCTGTGTCGATTCCCCTCCGACGAGCCTCGCATGCCTATCCCGTGCGTGCCCGCTCGCTTCTGTGCACGCGTAGCCGTCGTCGTCAGGAAGCTCGCTGCGAGCGTGCCTGCTCGCGTCCCGCAGACATCGCGTGGCCAGCGGTGTTATCAGGAAGCTCGCTCCATCAGGGAGTCTTTTTGGGAGCTCATCTGACGCACATGCTTTCTCGGACGCAAAGTGACTTTAAGCATGTGTTTTGGGTGCGCTTCGATTTGTTTAGTGGCCGTTAGTTGTTTTAGTGTTTTTGAGTAGTTTCAGTGGCTTTGCAATTGCCTTTCGGTGTGTTTTGGTTGCCTTGAGTGGCTTTTGGTGGCGTTTAGCTGGGTTGGTTGTTATGATTTGTTATAGGAGACACTGAGAAACACTAGAAGCAACCAAGAGCCATTACGCCCATGCGATGGATTTGAATACGGGATGCCACTATGACCGACGCTGGAGCCGACACCGTTACACATCTAGAAGCTCTCGCGATTGAGAAGTGAGACATACAAGAGAAGTGTAATCTCGAATGTTTCCACCACATTGCGAGGCGGTAACCGTTGGTGTCCACTGGGGTTGATTTCGTAATAGTTTTGTATTCGGCTTTGAAACTATCATCCGATTATACTCCCGATCGAGGACACCAGGAGAGGACGAGGAGGAGATCCCGAATCTGTGGAAACGATAGCATGTGCCCCAGCAGCTCCTGGTCAGTTTGCCCGCTCCGTGAACATTCGGCGACTGCTGGCGTTTTCACAGGATCTGAAAGGAAGTGGTGCGGCGCAATGGTTCTAGCTAGGCTTGATAGGCTAACTCATGTAATATCATGTTGGTCGCTTCTTGCGTCCAGGGACTCCCTTGGAGGCCCTGCGCAAGCCTCGGAATCGTATAGAAGGGGAAGTGCGGAAACGCAGAAATCATTAGTTTCCTTTAGGTATTCAACGATTTGGGTCCCTCAAAGGCTTCCTGGATTCAGACCGGGGGCCAAACTTGGAAACAAAACAAAGGAACTGATGGATTTCCATGTTTTCTTGTTTGTGTTTGTGCCTCGCGGGTTTTGTTAGCCGGGCCTCTCAGGGGTGCGGGATATTCCGGACCCCCTGGGTGTTCTGGAGGCCTCCGGGAGGCTTGGAGAGCCGTCGAAAGTGAGTCTCGGGCTGCGCGGGAGCGTGTTGGGCCGTTCTGGAAGCTCCTTGGGGTCGTCTTCGGGGCCTCCCGGGAAGCCGGGAGGCGCGGTACTGGCCAGATGTCAGGGGATGTGTGGGATTTTCGAGAAGGGCTCCATTTTGAAAAAGAAAGAATTCTTGGAATGTCTTTTTTTCTGGGTTGGAAGCGGGAAAACGTGAGAAGGCGGAAAACATTAGAAAAGCCACTGGAAATCAATACTTTTACCCTCTTTGGGCTCTCTCGGGACGGCTCTCGCAGTTCTCTTGGACTGTTCTTGGAGCCTCGTCGGGGTCTTTTGAGGGCCTCTCAGGGATCGGGTGTGTTGGGGGCCTCTTGGGGTCCTGGAGGCCTCTCGGAGGTCTCTGGAAGCCTCCTGCTCCCGCTCTTCGGCCCATCTTGGGCCTGTTCTGGGGTGGTCTGGGGCTGTCCTGGGCGCCTCTTCGGCAGTCTTGGAGCCTTCTTGGCCCGTCTTGGGGCCGTCCTGAGGGTCTCTTGGGTGGTCATGGGGGGGTCTTGGGCGTCTCTTCGGCGCTCTTGGACCGTCGGAAGCTCGAAAACGCGAGAAGGCCAAGAACATAGCAACACAAATGACAATCTACGATTTTGGCCTCTCCGGGCCGTCCTGGGACGCCTCTCGGACCTCTCTTGGGGTCTCTTGGAAGCCACTTGGGAGCCTGGAGAGCCGTCGGGAGGCTGAATTGGGCTGCTTGGGAGCGTCTTGGGCTATCCTTTCGCATTCTGGGGGCTCCTGGGAGGCGTCTTGGGCCCTCCTGGAGCGCTGTGGAGGCTCCCCGGAAAGGCCGGGGGAGCGATACCGGGAGCGTCCCCGAGATGTCACGGGGAGGTGTGCGACCCGGGGCCAGGGGAGGGTTGTAGTTTTTGTTTATAGATCTATATATATATATCACATTCTATTACATTAACTTAATTTAGATTAGATTAATCCAATGGAATGATTGAATCGCTTCGCTCATTCCGCCGGCCCGTATTGGTGCACGGCTGTCGAGTGCCCGTGTGATCGTTGTCAATGGGGTGCTGCTGGGTCGATTTTTTGTTTATGGATGGCTGGCTTTGGGTGATTTCGCAGGCGGGAACCATTCTTTGCCCGCCTGAACCTTCTGTTTCGGAAGGTGGCGGCTCGTGAATACGATCGCAGGGAACAAGACAACATTCTGCAGTTTCCTGTTTGCATTCTTCGGGCCCCTTGTCGCTTGTTGGGGCCTTTTAGGAGCCTCTTGGGGCGTCCAGGAGGCCTCTTGGAGCGGAAGGTTCGGACTTTCGGTTCGTGGTCTCCATCTTGGGCCTCTCTTGGGGCCCTCTTGGGGTCCTCTTGGACCGTCTTGGGCGCCTCTTGGGCTGTCGTGGGGCTCTCTTGGGAGTCGTGGGCCTCTCTTGGAGGCCTCCTGGGCCGTCTTGGGGTGGTCTTGGAAGCTTCTTGGGCCGTCTTGGAGCGTCGGAAAAGCGAAAAGGCGAGGAAGCCAAAAACCTTGGAAAACCCAATGGAAATCAATGGTTTTGGCGCTCTGAGGCTTCGTGGACGTTCATTGGGACCTCGTTGGATGCCTCTCGAGGGCTTCTTGGAAACTCGGGAGTCGTTGTCGAGCCTCTTGGGGTCTCTTGCGGGCCCCTTGTCGCCTTTTGGGGCCTCTCGGGGGCCTCTTGGAGCCTCCAGGAGGCCTCTTGGAGCGGAAGGCTTGGATTCTCGGTTCGTGGTCTCCATGTTGGGCCCCTTTTGGGGCCCTCTTGGGGTCCTCTTGGACCGTCTTGGGCGCCTCTTGGGCTGTCGTGGGGCCCTCTTGGGCGGTCTTGGGGCTCTCTTGGAGGCCTCCTGGGCCGTCTTGGGGTGGTCTTGGAGGCTTCTTGGGCCGTCTTGGAGCGTCGGAAACGCGAAAAGGCGAGGAAGCCAAAAACCTTAGAACCCAATGGAAATCAATGATTTCGGCCTCTTGGGGCTCTCTTGGAAAGGGTCGGGGCTCTCTTGGGACGTCTTGGAAGCTTCTTGGGCCGTCTTGAGGCCGTGTTGGGCGTCTTGGGCCGATCGTTCGGTGATTCGGAACCCTCTTGGACCGTCTTGGATTCTTGTTGGGGCCCTCTTGGAGCGCTCCGGGGAGCGTGGAAGGCCGCACCCAGGAGGAAATCCATCTCTGACCCTGAGTTTGACGGGAGTGTCCTGGGATCTTGCCGGGGTACTTTTCGCCCGGGGCCCCCCAGGGGCCGCCCTGCGCGCGCGAACTAGAATTATTGTTAAGTAGTTACCGGAGATCTTAGCACGCCTCTGGCCCGTTGGGCTGGCGGATTATTGTGGTTTTTGTTGCCAGTATTATTAGTATTATTATTATTATTCGTATTATTGTTATTTTATTATTATTAATATTATTATCATTATTGTCATTATTACTATTCATAGTATTACTGTTACTACTACTATTACTACTACTGCTGCTACTACTACTACTACTACTGCTACTGCTACTACTACTACTACTACTACTACTACTACTACTACTACTACTACTACTACTACTACTACTACTACTACTACTACTACTACTACTACTACTACTACTACTACTACTACTACTACTACTACTACTACTACTACTACTACTACTACTACTACTACTACTACTACTACTACTACTACTACTACTACTACTACTACTACTACTACTACTACTACTACTACTACGACTACTACTACTACGACTACTACTAGTACTACTAGTACTACTACTACTACTACTACTACTACTACTACTACTACTACTACTACTACTACTACTACATGTACATTTACAGACAACACATCATGACACATTGCCCGCAGAGAAGCTGTTCCTTGTAAGTCCGACGTATGCATGACATTTGTTCCAAGGCTGGGGGCACCGCGTCACAGGCAGGTTTTCAATTGCAGACTGGTCTTTGACTGTAGAATGGATTTCCACTGCAGACTGGGTTCCCCTTGTGGCTCTCTTGGAGCTTTTTGTGGCCCTCTTGGGGGCCCTCTGAAGCCCATTTTGGAAAGTCTCTAAAGTGTCCGCCGGGACGGTCTGAGACGTCTTTTGGAGCTTCCAGGGCTCTCCTGGAACCTTTTGGGGGACCTCGGGGTAGGTCTCCGAGGGCCCTGTTGGGCCTCTCCTTGGTCCCTTTTGGACAGTCTGAGACGTCTCCTTGGGGCCGCCGGGGCCCAAGAACTCAGAGCAAGGGGGGTCATCGATCCTCCTCGCCCCCTCGGAAGCTCCAAACTTTGGCCTCTCGGGGCCCTCTTGAGTGTTCTTGGGAGTGTCTGGGGCGCTCTTGGAGCCGACTTGGGGCCGTATTGGGCTCGCCTTGGGACTCTCTAGGGCCCTTTTTGGGGCCATCCTGAAGCCCAAGAAGCCCATCGGCAGCGAAAAAGCGAGAAACCCCAACATATGGTTTCTCCGGCGGCTTTTGAAGGAGAACGGCACTTGAACCCTTCTTTGGGCTGTCTTGGGGCGTCTTGGAGGCTCGTTGGACGCTATATTGCGCGATGTTGAGGCATCTTGAGCCATCTTGAAGGCCACTTGGGCTGTTTTGGGCCCTGTTGGAGCCATCTGGGGCCATCTTGGGCGCTCAGACGGCTCCGTCCCCCCCCCTCCCAGGCCCAGGGGGAGGGGTGAACCCCTCCCCCGAGCAGGGGAAGGAGAGGTTGTGGCAGGGAAATCGGTTAGACCTTCAGCCCAGAGGGCTGATGGGAGTCCACTGCTCCTCTCGACAGGCAAAGCTACTGCGAGATGCGAGCAGGATAACTGCTCTGTCAGAGCGGATCCGCATCGACATTTACGGTAACCGCGGAGTGGGGTGGGGTAGTGGCAACGTTGAGGGGTGGATCGCTTCAGACGGGGATGTATCGACCCCCATCGCCCATTGATCGCCGACAGGGGCCCGGCAGCCCACCCCGCCCGACGTATCGACGATCCATGTGTGATGTTTCCCCCCCTGAGCCGCCCCCCCCTGTCGTCCCCCCTCAGCTGTGTTGGTGGTTGGGGGGGACGTTGGCCCAAAGGCCAGGCAATTCGAGACGAGACACGACAACATGAGACAAGACATGGCGAGACAGCGAGACAGGCCAAGGTAATTAGCCTGGAGGTCGGCCCCGAACGGTTCCCAGACGCCGTTCAAGAGGGCCCCGAGCCCCCCCCCCCCCGGGGCCCAGATCATTCAAACACGGGCAATTTGGCGATGTTTGCCTTCTCGCCTTTTCGCTCTCAAGGGGCTCTTGGGGCCTCAGGGTGGCCCCGAGCTCGCCCAGGAAGGCTCGGAGGCGGGACCGAGGCTGCCTGGCCCCCAGTGAGGGCCCCGAGACATGCCCAAGAGGGCCCCAAGACTCCCCCCCCTCCTCAGAGGGGAGGGGGGGAGGGGGAACAAACAACCCCCCCCCCCTCCCTAAATCCGACCAAAGCTCGAGGATGCAAGCAGGGGCAGGCGTCCATGGCGCTCAACAGGCCCCAAGGACCGGCCGCGGGAGGCCCGAAGTGGCCCCCTAAGAGGTTCCCAACGGACCCCAAAGAGCCCAAGAGCCCTCCAAGAAGCCTCCCAGAGGCTCCCAAGGGGCCCCCAAGGACCTCCCAAAAGGGCTTCCAGAGGCCTCCAAGAGGGGTCTTCTGGCGCGCTGCCTTCTGGCGGAGGGAAGCCAGACCCCCGACGTCGTGCTTTTTTCCATGACGTGACCTCCAGGAGCCTGGACCCTTTCCCGGGACATGGTTTTCCATTCCGAGTCGTTGTTTGAAAGTCACGAGGCCCGGCGAGGGCCCTTGGAGGCCGAAAGTAGCGAAAAACATCCCGTCGTGTTTTTTTTCCACAACGCGAGGGGGTCTGGGAAGGGGGGGTGGTACACCCTTCCCAGAGGGGGAAGACGAGGGCTGGAAAAGGACACGCCCTGAAACACAACACCTGAAGCGCCTGGGGCTGGTGGGATTTGGAGCCACGCGGCTGGTCCACGGCCGTCGGGCGCTCGAGCGGTTTCGCCGTCCAGCGGCAGCCTTTATGAGCTCAACGCTGGAGCGCCGTTGAGTTGTGCACCCAGGCCCCCTCGAGTTAGGGAAAAATCATGACGGGAGTTTTTTTCCTAAGTTTGGCTTTTGGAGGCCTTTACCGGCCCTCGGGACCGTCGAAGAACAGCTAAGGATGGGAAACTGGTCCAGGGTAATAGGTCGAGACCTTTGAGGGTCGACGTTATGAACAAATCATGACGTCGGGGGTGTGCGTTGAACTGTGCAGCAGGGGAGGTGTAACTTCTCTGCCAGGGGAAGTTACGGATCAGATACTGTTGCAGTGTTGCGTTGGAGCCGATGCTAGACAGCATAATCATTTCGAGCCTTGCTGGGTCGCTGTCCGTTCGATCATCGTATCTAGGTGCTCGTATAGTGTTCCACCAGACATAGGTCGTGGCAAGTATCATCATTCCAGGAGTTGCCCCCAACCTTTGCCGCGTTTGTCCTTCTTGTCTTTCTCGTGGGGAGGACATGGGGCAGATGTATGCAGGATGAGGCCAGCATTTCTGTCCCATGGAAGGGTGATGACAAGTACTGCGTCAAGCAGGTTTCCAAGGTCAATTTGACCGCCAACAAGATCGAAGAGGTACTCAACGAGTTTGGCACGATGTTCCGCATGAACAGTCCTTTCATTGCCCGTACATTCGAGGTCTTCCAAGACGGACAGGCTTTCTACGTGGTCAACGAGTTGTATTCCGGCGGGGACTTCACAAAGCTGGGAAAGAACGCACATGATGAAGGGCAGACCATGTCAGAGTCGTGGTGGCGAAATATTTTCAAACAGTGTTTGCTTGGCCTTCAGTACCTTCACGAGAAGGGGGTACTGCATTGCGATATCAAGGAGCCAAACATCATGGTTGCATCAAGCGACTCGTACGCCAGGCCTCGCCCTGTATTCATTGATTTCGGCTTGTGTCTGAGGCTCAGCAACAACCGGGGCGCTGGTGGTACGCCAGGCTACATGCCTCCGGAGACGTATGAGGACGGAAAGGTAATAAGTCGTTCAGGGGCAATGCGGGGATAGGCTCAGGGGGATGCATCGACCCTCTAATCGACCGTTGATCGCCGATAAGGGCCCGATGGCCCCACCCCGCGCAAGGAAGTGCGGATTTGCTATTGGGGGCCCATCGCCGTTCTGTCGGCGAAGTATCGCCGATTCCAGGTCTATGTCTCCCACCCTGAGCTGAACACCTCACCCAGCTCGCCCACTTTTTTGCTTTCCCCTTCCCTGGCCGTTCCTTCGGAGTCGTCGTCGGCCCCTCGCGGCCTGAGCAAGCAGTTTCGCAGCCGAGACGGGGGCCGTTGGGAAGTTGCCTGGAGCTCTCTTGTGGGGGTTCGGGGCCGCTTTGGGATGGCCTGTCGGTGTGATGGGCCCGTTTGCGGCAACGTCGAAATCGTCTGGGCTAGTCTTGTGTCGTCCTGGGACTGGGGCGGCTTTGTGGGGTCGTTGGGCCGTCGTGTGGCTGTTTTGGGGGTCTCCTCGGATTTGTCCCCGCCGACCCAAACGCCGCCCGTATTCCCAACCGAAAGCAGTCGTGAACCCGAAAGCCTGGGAAGGCGCAGACGACCAAACACCACACAATGTGTTCTTCAATAATTTCAATGTTTTGACACCCCCAGGGCCTGCTCCGAATGCCTCCTGGGGGCTCTGAGGCTTTGGAAGGAGTCTTCGGGGAAGGGTCCACAAGATGCGCTGCCGAAGAGCTCCCTTCTTGGAATCGCTTCCCGGAGAGCAGAAAACGAAGCAGCGCAAACCAAGAGCAGAACTGCGCCTGGCTAGGCAGATCACATCACATCGATTCAGCGCAGGTCGTAAGCCAACCAGCTGATGATCATTGCAGGAAGGCGTCGCACCGCAGCGCATGACATTGCTACCAATCACGTTTCTCATGTTTTCTGCTGCCTGCTTCTCGGATGGCCCAACACGTTTCTCTGTTCCTTCCTTGTCGACCTGCTTCCCTACATCCCTCCCTCGCTCTCTCCCTTCTTATGTCCCTCCATCCCTCCCTCCGTCTCTTTCCGGATCGCACGTGTGTGTTTTGGCAATGTGTTGTTAGGTCGTCCATCATAGATTGGAGAGTCACACTCCTACCCGAGGAAGCGAACCACATGTGTGCTGTCTTATCGTCACGCACATGTGTGTTGTCTTATTATGTGTTGCCATTTTGTGCCTGGATTTGTTTTTACTTAGAGAGAATCGTCTGTGACAGCGTTAACCTCTTAAGTCAAGATGCAACTCCTGGAAGGTTAGATTCAGAATCGGCGTTGGTACATCCTTGGTCGAAAAATTGGCCTGATCTGGCTTCGTCCAGGCTAGTCCAGCTCAGTCCCGCTTTGTCCGGCTTGCCCCCGCCTAATCTTAACCCGACTTAGTCTTGGGCTTATTCCGGTCTGATCCAGTTCATTGGTTCTTTAATCGGGCTTCACGGCTCTGAGCCGTTCTGACGAAGACCTCCCATAAGATGCCTCCTACAGTGGGGACCATGCCAAGAAACACCCTGCTTGCCTCCAGGGTGCCCTGGGTTTGCTGGGTCTCGATGGTCTTGTCATGGAGACAGCGTGACGCTCCCACACCAGACATCGATGGACGTCCTGGGGTCTCAGGGTTGGTTTTCTTGCGGACGGTTTCTTGTGGTCGGGCCCCTACTGAAATTTCTAAGCTAGCTTCCTGCGCAGCACCTGTTGATGCTATGTATGCATGCATTGATGTAAATACATATGCATATATGTATGTATGCATGCATACATGTATGTATGTATGCATGTATGCATGTATGTGTGTGCATGTGTAAGTATATATGTATGCATGCGTGTATGTATGTATGTATGTCTCTCTGTCGGTCTGTCTGTCTGTCTGTCTGTCTGTCTGTCTGTCTGTCTGTATGTGTGTCTGCATGGAATGCATTGCATTGTAATGTAATGCGCTGTACTGTAATGTAATGTGATCTAATGTAATGCGTGAGTACTGTAATGTGCTGCACCGTATTGTAATATGTATGTGCATGCATGCATTCATGTAAGTGTGTATGGTTGTATGCTTCTGTATAACTGTTCTACTTGTGTATGTTTGAATGTGTGTGCATGTAATCCCGCGTATATGTATGTTTGTGTACATGGATACACATATATATGTGTGTATATAGTTGTGTATATGTGTATGTATGTAGGCACGCATGTATGTATGCATGCATATATGTATGTATGTATGTCTGTATGTGTGTATGTATGTATGTATGTATGTATGTATGTATGTATGTATGTATGTATGTATGTGTGTGTATGTATGCATGCATCTATGTATGTATGTATGTATGTATGTATGTATGTATGTATGTATGTATGTATGTATGTATGTATGTATGTATGTGTGCATGTATGTATGTATATATATATGTATATATGTGCGGGCATGTTGGTGGGTAGGTATGCGTGCATGCATGCATGTATGTGTGTATGTATGCATGTATGCATGTATGTATGTATGCATGTATGCATATATGCATGTATATATGAGGCGTTCCACATATGGCCTCGCCTTCGAGAGTCGAAGGAGTTGCCATCTCTGCTGCGGTTGAAGACGGCGGAAGGGCGGCGGAAGGCCGTCAGAAGTTCGGCAGCAGCCGGAGGAAGCCAGCGGAAGGGCGGCAGAAGGCGGCGGAAGTAACACATGCGCCCCCCAAGAGATGAACACGTTTTTGGATTCAGGGTTGTCGAAATCCGACATATACACATGCCTCTGTATACGCATAAGTCAAGATGGCTGTACTACATGATCGTCTCGGACGCACGCCTCCACGAAGGGCGCATCGTACTAGTATGTCCTTCTGCGTCCCACGGAGGAGGAGCAGTGGTACCCCCGCGGTGACGTGTTCAGCCTCGGCATCGTCTTCTTTCAGCTGATGACGGGGCAGGTCCCCAGCAAGGACGGGCGCAGGCCTGGAGTGCTCTACGGCAACGGCAACCCGCGCGGCGCAGCCATCCGCGGGTCTCTGCCGTGGGAGCGGTTCCCAGACATGTTGTTGCTGAAGGATCTCGTGAGCTGGATGACCCAGCGGATCCGCATACAGAGGCTGGGAGCATGACTTGGAAAGGTTGGAGTCGGCTGGGGGTCCGGGGTGGCCCAGCAGTGGTTCAGGCGAGCGTCAGCGGGGGGGGGGGGGGAGGCGCTGGGTCCGAGAGTGTTCTTTCGCTTTTTTCGGTCTCTGCGGGCCGTTTTCGGGCCCCGGCACCATCCAAAACGGATCTGTGATGAAACGTTGCACCAGATGTTCCCGGGGGGGTCTGGGGACCGATGCTGAGCGGATTTGGCTTCATCCCCCCGTCCTGACCGATGTCTGGGCCCCAGCCAGCTCAGACGCCCTGGCCGCCTCCAAGGTCTGGCAGCAAATCACGGGTGCCCGGCGTGTCCTCGGAGTTCCGTCTCTGGAGTGCGACTCGCGTCCGCTAGCGTCTGGTAGTCCATGGCAACCTCGCTCGGTCGCGGGGGAGGTCTCCGAGGCGGGAATCTGGGCACGACCGCCGCCTGGAGGATCACTTTTCGGGGGCCTCGGCAGGCGGTGGATCTGGATATATTCGGGGCCGCGAGGCCAAACTATATCCATACAGAGGAGGCCCATGCGAAGAAACACCCTGCTTGCCTCCATGGTGCCCTGCGTTTCTTGGGTTCCGATGGTTTTGCGATGGGCAGCGCGACGTTCCCACACCAAACATCGATGGACGTCCTGGGGTCTCAGGGTTGGGTTTCCTGTGGAAGGTTTCTTGTGGTCGGGCCCCCACCGGAGCCACCGCCCGCTGGGGCACCAGGACGTCGGTTCCCAGGCGGTGGATCAATGGATAAAAATCCCCGCCTCGCCGGGGTCAGGCGCGCCAGGGCCAGGACAACAAGTCGTCCCGGAGCGTTTCCTCGGCGAGCTCTCGGAGGGCGCCCCGAGAGGCTCCTCTGGAGCGGCCGCGGCGCCCCGGTATAGATCCACCGTAACTGACCGCCAGACCGCAGGTCCCCGTGCGGTTGCGTCCCAGTCCTTGCTTCGGTTCGAGGAGGGGAGGGGAGGAGGGAGGGAGGGAAGGGGGAGAGGGGGACGACTAAGAGGGGGTGGAGGAGGGGGAAGGAAGGGGAGGAGCAGGGGAGGAACAGGGGAGGAGCGGGAGGAGAACGGGGAGGAAGGTGAGGAGGAGGAGGAGGAAGAGGACGAAGACGGCAAAGGAGGAGGAGAAGGAGGAGGAGGAGGAAAATGAGGAGGAGGAGGAGGAGGAGATTCCATTCCCTTATGAGCAACTCCTCGCTATCGCACCCCGAGGCTGGTTGGAGGACGGGCTGGGTGTTTCGCCTGAGACTTCCTCACCATTTATGAGCCCGAAGCTTAGCAGTTGGCAACGGTTTCAAATACTGAGGGCGGGTGTTTGCTTCAATGTGGTTCTTGCTTCAGCGCCGCCCACATTCTTTTTCAACATGTGGACGAGTTTCACGGATTGAAGGCGGGTGGTTTTCGAAATGTTGTTCTCGCCTTACCGCCGCGTACACTCGTCTGAAACATTCGAACGAGGTTCACGGATGGATGATCGATGGCGGATGGTTTTCCAAATGTGGTTCCCGCTTGAGCGCCGAGCACATTCGTCATAAACATTTGAAAGAGTTTCGCGGATTGATGGCGGTTGGTGATCCAAACGTGGTTCTCGCCATAGCACCGCGCGCGCTCGTTTTTAGCATGTGCCAGGCTTTCACGGATTGAGGGCGGGTTCTTTTCAACATGTTGTTCTGGCCTCAGCGCAGTGCACATTCGTTTTAAACATGTGCAAGAGTTTCGCGGAATTTCGAAGTCAACCATCCAGAGATGGTGTGTTCAAGCGGTTCAGGATGGTCAGGGCGCAGCAGTTACGTTGATTGGGGGTGTTGAAGTCGCCCGTATATTGTTCTGGCGCCATTCAGCATCGTCAAGATGCAAGAGTTAGGTTGGCTTGTGGCGCTGGAGTCTTGAGAATGGTGCTTTGGCATGTTTGAAAATTTTCACACGGTTGTCTCCCACCGGGGCACGCCCTTCAGTGGAATTGAATTGTTGTATGGGGCTTATGAACAGGGAGCTTGGAGGGAGGGTGTATCCCAACATGGCTGGTGAGTCTTGGGTTTGCCCTGGTCCTCCTTTTCCTCCTCCTCCTCCTCCTCCTCCTCCTCCTCCCTCTTCTCCTCCTCCTCGTTCTTTTCCTTCTCCTCCTCCTCCGCCTCCTCCTCCTCCGCCTGGTTCCTGGTGGCTGCATGGTCGTTCAGACGAAGCCTCCCCCCCAGGGCCAGTCGGCCCTGGGGGGCTGATCAAACTAGGGCCAGGCGACCCTTGCAGCACAGCTCCAGGGCTCACCGGCGGCGCAGGCAATTGTGCGTGTTTGTAGGAGTAGAGCCGGGACAGACAGACAGGTAGGAGGCGAACAGAGGACGAGGAATGATCAGACCTCGTATGGGGGGGATCCCCTCCTCACTCCCCTCCCTTCGGATGCCACTCCTGGGAAGTGAAGTTCTGATTTTCCCCTGGTCTGGTATCCGACTTAATCCCGCTCCATCCCGCCTAATCCGGCTTAATCCCGCTGAATCCGGCTGAATCCCGCTTGTTCCGAGGCCCAATCCCGCGTAACGGCCCCCCAAGGGGGCTTAATCCTCTTTCATCCTTCAGCGAAGACCTCCCAGCAGCTGCCTCCTCACCTCCTGCTCTTTCTGCTCCTCCTCCCTCGCGTCCCCGAGAGGCCGCGCACCTTCCAGGCAGTCAGCCACCCGTGGTTCGGCTCCTCCGGCGACGCTCCCCTGCCCGCCGAGGCCCTGCGGGGCCTGGTGAGCACCGAGACGGCCCTCGAGACGGGCGCGGAGCTGGCCGTGAAGGACCCCCATCCCCACCCACACTCCCCTCCCTCCCTCCCTCCCTCCCTCTTCTTCCTGCCTCCTGCCTCCTCCTCCCTCCCTCCTCCCTATTCCCTCCCTCCCTCCTCCTCTCTCCTCCTCCTAACTCGCTCACGCGCTCACGCACGCACTCACTCACTCTCTTAGTCAGTCAGTCACTCACTCACTCACTCACTCCCTCCCTCCTCATCCTTCGCTCCCACCTTCTCCTCCCTCCTACTCCTGCTACTCCTCACCATCCTTTGCTCCTCCTCCTCCTTCTCCTCCCTCCTCCTCCTCCTCCGCTCTCCTTCCTCCTTCTCCTCCTCCTTCTCCTCCTCCTCCCTCCTCCTCCTCCTCCTCCTCTCCTCCTCATCCTTTTCCTTCTCCTCCCCTTCCGCCCTCCCTCCCTCCTCCTCTTCTCCCTCCTTCTTCTCCTCCTTCTTCTTTTCCTCCTCCTCCTCCTCCGCCTTCCTCCTTCCTTCCCTCCTCCCTCCCCTCCTTATCCTCCCCTCCTCCTCCTCCCCCCTCCCTCCCCCTCCTCATCTCCTCCTCCCCCGCCCCTCCTCCCCCCCCTCCTCCTCCTCGCCCGCCTGCCTCCTCCTCCTCGTCCCTCCTTCCTCCTCTTTCCTTCTCCGTCCCTCCTCCTTCCTCCTCCCTTTCCTCTCTCCTCCCTTCTGCCTCCTCCCTCCCTCCTCCCTCCTCTCCTCCTCCCCTCCTCCCTTCTCCTTCTCTTCCTCCTCCCTCCTCCTCCTCCTCCCCTCTCCTCCTCCTCCTCTCCTCCTCCTCGTCCTCCTCCTCCTCCTCCTCCTCCTCCTCCTCCTCCTCCTCCTCCTCTTCCTCCTCCGCCTACATTGGGGCGTAAGCTGCCAGCTTAAGGTCGCGCGTGCAGTGGGACCGATGTATAAGGTCGAGGTCTGTTCGGGGAGGGTACTCTCGTGTTTTTCGTGTTTGTTTGATGTTCATGTGCATCCTGGAGAGGGTATCCTTGAATGTTCTGCTTGTTTTGGCCGACGTCAGGCTTCATGTTCTTGAGCAATGTTCTTCTGGCCTGGGTCCGACTGCGAGCGCCCCCGTCTCCAGTGAAGCGTGCCTCCGCACCAGGTCACCGTGCCATCTCGCGCAAGATCTATGTCAGATCGTAGCTCATGTGGCGCTGCACCCCTCTCAGCCTGGCGCGCGGGGCCCTGTCCGCTTCACTTGGCTTTGTCCGCTTCGACGCCGCGCGCGCGAGGCCGCGACCGCCAAACAAGTGTGTGTGTGTGTGTGTTGGCTGTCTGTTTCCTCGCTCTTTGTGCGCGCCGCCATTGCGGGCCGCTTGCTGCGCCTCCAGCTTGCTTCTCACGCGATGCCGCTCTGTTTCCCTGCCGTTTTCCACCCCGCGTCTCTTCCCTCTCCCCCGTTTGCTCCCTTCGCGACTGGCCTCTCGCAAATGGTGCTGTTGATCCCCGATGGGCGGATCCAGTATTTCCACGCCGCATGATCTGGGCCAGCCCGCGCGCGCTTCTCGCTCGACCTGCTCTACGCCGCGCCGCTTCGCGAGTGGCCGCGACGCCAAAAAGGGTGCATGTGCGCGCAGGCGCTTACCAACGTCAGGTGGAGTTGACGCTGAGCGTGGTCCGCAGTACGGTAGCATTCGCTACGGTGACGTCGCGCGGCCGTTTGACAAACATGGTGCGTGCGTGCGTGCTCTATCCGTCGCTCTGCCGTTGGCTCGCCCTCGATCTGAACTCATCGATGATGCAAGAACCCCCAGCCCTAAGAACAGAAGGAAGACGTGGCCTCACCGAGGTCCCCGTTTTGTCATTCGGGATGATAAGTCTGGGCGGTTTGGTCCGATTCATCTGCAGAAAGAAAAGCCCTCTCCCTGATGTTCTTGGCCCTCCTGACTTGGGTCACCTCCCCCAAAGGGTGAGGGGCCCTTTTGTGGTGCACCACGCGTAGCTAAGAAACACGTTGGGGTGGTCTTAGCTGGCCCCGGAAGCGGCAGGGCCTTTCTTGCACCGTTTCCGAAAATGTGTCTCTTGAAAATGGAAGCGGCCCCAAAAAAGCGGAGCCAGAACCGGTAAAGCAACGGCGACGGAATAGGTAAAAAGCACGGCGTCGGAACCGGCCACAACAATTGCAAAACGGAACCGGTAAGAAAACGGCCCTGTCGTTTCCAGGGCCCGCTAAGGGCGTGGTGCCTCGGGAGGACTTCGTGAGGAGCCCGCGGCGCCAAGGGCCGCGCCCGCCCTCCTACAGCCTCGCCGACGTCCACAGCCCGCGCGGGCGGGGCGCCTGCGGAGCCGCGCCGGACGGGCTCTTCGGCGCCAGCTCGGCGGCGGTGGGCAGCCCCAGGTCACGGGGGCGAGGGGCGGGTTCCTATCCCTTTCAGGGCTCATTTCGATTCCTCCGATTCGATTCGATTCGATTCCGATGCCTTCCGGGTCCGACTCGATTCGGCTTCGGATGCCGATTTGGGTTCCGCATTCTGAGTGGAGGCCTACTAGTTAGGCTGCCGATTTCCGCCGATTCGACTTTTGCGACTCGGCTGCCGATTTCCGCCGATCCGATTCATTTCGATCGCCGATCCGACTTGTCGAATCGACTCTGGGGGCTCCTCCCCCCTCCCTCGGGAGGGGAACACGACCACACACGGACAATGAATCAACGATCCCCAGGAAAAGATGCGAAACTATGGGAAGTGGAGGGGGGGAGACGAAGCCCCACACCCTATGGGGAAAGTTGTGGGGGATTCCAGGAGTTGTGTCTACTTCTTTGTGTGCCACCCGGCCCCTGTGCTCCTGTCGGTGCGAATGAGCCGCGACGGCAGGACTTGGGCCGTTTTCGGCCTCCGCGGGCCTCGGCTGGGCTCCGGAGCCCTCAGACGACCGCTCGGGACGAGAAGCCCGTCCCGGGGGGCAGGGGTCCCGACCTGTGGGGGTCCGCGCGGTGGAATATAAGCACGGCGTCGGTGATCTGCGTCTGTCGGCGGCGCGCAGAAGCGGGCGGCGCGATTCAGGACAGAAAAAGGCACCGAGATTGCTTCCCCTTGCACCGTTTCGCCTGCGTGGGCTGCTCGAAGGGCTCTCGTCCCAGAAATCCGACGCTCAAACATTAATCCTGGCGAGGGGCCCAACCGTCGTTGCGGGTATCGCCTTCGGGGAATCTCTGTATGGGGCCATGAAGCATGCGAAGGGTGTGCCGATATGGCGCGGGGCCGCCATGTGGGCGCTGCCACTGGGGGCTTCAGGTGGAACCAGCTATGGGGCCGCGAAACGTGTGAGGGCTGCGCCGCAATTGAGCGGCGGAGGCGCATGCGGGCACCCTCACCGGGACCTTCGGTGGAGCTCTTGGCCACGATGCGCGTCTGTGTGAGGAGACGCGCATGCGGCCTGCGGCCACTGTGACCTTCGGTGGAGCTCCCTATGGGGCAAGGAAGCGTTGTTCTGGGTGGGGCAGGCGCGTGCGAACACCGCCACTGGGGCCTTCGGTGGAGCTCCCTATGGGGCAACGAAACGTTGTACTGAGTGGGGGGAAAGCGTGCGAACGCCGCCACTGGGGCCTTCGGTGGAGCTCCCCATGGGGCAAAGAAGCGTTGTACTCGGTGGGGGCAGACGCATGCGAACACCGCCACTGGCGCCTTCGGTAGAGCTCCCTATGGGGCAACGAAGCGCTTTACTGTTTAGGGGAGACGCGTGCGAACACTTGAGCTTTCGGTGGAGCATCCTATGGGACAACCAAACGCTGCACTGAGCGGGGGAGACACATGCGAACACCGCCGCTGGGGCCTTCGGTGGAGCTCTGTATGGGGCAACGAAACGCTGTGCTGTGTGGGGGAGACGCGTGCGAACACCTCCGCTGGGGCCTTCGGTGGAGCTCCCTATGGGGCCACGAAGCGCGGTCCTTAGTGGATTCAACACATGCGAACACCGCTATTGTGGCCTCTGGTGGAGCTCCATATGAAGCAACGAAACGATGTCTTGAGTGCGTCAAATGCATGCGAACACCGCCACTGGCGCCTTCGGTGGAGCTCCGTGTGGGGCCACAAGATGCTGTTCTGTGTGGGGGAGGCCCGTGGGAACGCCGCCACTGGGGCCTTCGGTGGAGCTCCCGATGGGGCCACGAAGCGTTGTGGTGTTTGGGGAGACGCATGCGAAAACTGCCACTGGGGCCTTCAGTGGAGCCCCCTATGGAGCTATGAAGTGTTCTACTGAATTGGGGAGACGCGTGCGAACCCCGCCACTGGGGCCTTCGGTGGTTCTCCGTATGGGTCGCGAAACGATGTCTTGGGTGGGGGAAGCGCATGAACATCGCTACTGGGGACTTCGGTGGCGCTCCCTATGACGTGTACTGCGTGGGGGGGACACATGCGAACACCGCGATTCAGGCCTTCGGTGGAGCTCCGTACTGGGCCACGAAACGCTGTATTGGGTGGGGGAGACCACTGAGGCCTTCGGTGGATCTTCCGATGTGGTCACGAAGCGCTGTACTGGGTGGGGCAGACGCATGCGAACACCGCTTCTTGGAGAATCGGTGGAGCTCCCGAAGGCACCATGAAGCGCTGTACTGGGTGGGGCAGACGCCAGACGCATGCGAACACCGTCACTGGGGCCTTCGGTGGAGCTCCCTGTGGGGCAACGCAGCGCTGTATTGAGTGGGGGAGGCGCATGCGCCTTCAGTGGAGCTCCCTATGGGGAAAGGGAGCTTTGTACAGGGTGGGCCAGACGCATGCGAACACCGCCACTGGGGCCTTCGGTGGAGCTCCCTATGGGGCTGTGAGACGCTGTACTGGGTGGGGCAGACACGTGCGAACTCCGCCTCTGGGGCCTGCGGTGGAGCTCCCTACGGAGCCACGAAGCGTTGTATTGAGTGGGGGAGACGTATGCGAACACCGCTACTTGGGCCTTCGGTGGAGCTCGTTGTGGGACCACGGAACGTGTGAGGGGTGCGCCGCAATTGGTGGGGATGAGGGTGATGATGACTGCGATCATTATGACGATGGTGGTGATGATGACGACAATGATGATGTTGTTGATGATGATGTTGATGATGATGATGATGATGATGATGATGATGATGATGATGATGATGATGATGATGCTGACGGTGATGATGATGATGCTGACGGTGATGATGATGATGATGATGATGATGATGATGATGATGATGATGATGATGATGAGGATGAGGATGAGGATGAGGATGAGGATGAGGATGAGGATGCTGATGCTGATGCTGATGCTGATGCTGATGATGATGATGATGAGGAGGAGGAGGAGGAGGAGGAGGAGGAGGAGGAGGAGGAGGAGAGGGGAGGATGAGGAGGGACACGGGGTGCTGTCTTTTCAAATCGAGGATTCAATGTCACAGGATGGTTGGGCAAAATTGGAGCGGGCGGTTTTTGGCTGTTTTCGACCTCCCGGGGCCCTTGCCAGGCTTCGGGACCGTCAACAGAAGACTCGGGACTAACAGCCCGGTCTAGGGAAGTGGTCCAGACCTTCGCGGGCCCACGCATCGCAAAAATTGGAGCGGCCTGATGCCTGGGGTTGCCACGGCCGGATTCGCCTCGGGATCCTGCTTAGAGCGCGCGCCCAGGGAGATGCCCAGGTTGTAGTCGCAGATCGGTATTTTTTGTTCTGCCCCCGGCGGCAGGGCGGCCGTCCGGTAAAAGGCACGGGGTTTCTTCGACGCCCTCGCGCCTTCTGCTTCCAGGCCCTTCCAAGAAGCCCCCCCCCGTTTTCTGAGAAAGCCGCCCCCCCCCCCCCCCCTCGCCCCCACCTCCCCTGCGCACCTCGCCATGGCTGTCATCCCGGTCCTGGCCTAGTCTTGAGCGCAGTGGAAGCCCATGCCAAGAAACACCCTGCTTGCCTCCAGGGTGCCTTTCTTGGATCTCGATGGTGTTGCTGTGGGAAGCGTGACGTCCCCCCACAACCAATCAGAGGACGTCCTGGGACCTCCGGGTTGGGTTTCTTGTGGAAGGTTTCTCGTGGTTGAGCTCCTACTGTGAGAAAGAGCTGCTGCTTGCACCCTCAAATCCAATGTATGGATGTGTCCATACGCAGTCCCCGGAAGGCCCGAGCTTTTCCTGCTGGGTCGACTTTCATCCCGGGTCGTTCTCTGACGCTCCCGGGGCCCGGCGAGAGTCCCCAGAGGCTGAACAAAAATTCGAAGACCTTTGAACTGACTGTTCCAACGCGCTGGAGCTCTGGGAACGCACGCGTGCACGGGCTCGGGCCCCGCGACAGGCTGGGCTGGGCGGCCTCGCCGCCGCCCGCCGCGCAGGGCCTGCTGGCGGGGGGCGCTCCGCAGCCCGGGGCAGGCGCCGGGCTCGCCGGGCCCCCCGAGGTGCACGTCAGGCTCACCAGGGTCGCCGCCGCGAGGCTGCCACAGGGGCTCGGTGGACAGCCCAGGCCTCCAACGCATCGAGCAACTAGGTTGGATGCGCTTCGAGGTTCTCGGCCTCCAGGGACCCTCGCCGGACCCTGGGGCCGTCGTGAAGCGGCTCGGGATGAACAGCCGGCCCAGGGGCAGAGGGTCAGAACTTTCGCGGGGGGCCGCGCCATTGACAAAAGCAGTGCGTCGGATGTCTGCGCAGGAGATGGTTCTTGCACCTTCTGGCGTGTGTGACGGTCGCAAGCCGGGCCCTCCCCCCCTTGGGTAGCAGTAGTTCTTGACGCGATCTTGTCAGAGCCCCGAATCATCAGGGGTAACTCGGGTCAGGGCTAACTCGGGTTCCTTTTCCGGGAATCCAAACCCGAGTTACCCCAGACCCGAGTTACCCCGGATAACGCGGGCGTCCAGAGCCCCACATCATCAGGGGTAACTCGGGTCAGGGCTAACTCGGGTTCCTTTTCCGGGAATCCAAACCCGAGTTACCCCGGACCCGAGTTACCCAGGATAACTCGGGCGCCCAATCTTGGGCTATCTTGAGCCATCTTGGAGGTCATCTTTGGCTCTCTGAGGCGCTCTTGGGGCCGCCTTGGGCCATCTTGGGCGCTCCAACGCGTCGCGGGGCGCCCCGTCCAGGTCCAGGGGAGGGGGTTCGGGGGAGGGGTAAGCCCCTCCCCGAAGGGGAAGAAGGGGGCTGGAAGAAGAAACTCCCTAGACCACCTACGCCCTAAAAGGCAGGTGGGATTCGAGGATTAAACGATGGCGTAAACATACAGTTTCGGAGGTCCGCGAGGATTTCCTGGATCGGCGCCGGGCCGCCCTGAACCTTGGTTTGGGAGGGGCTCCGTGCTCCTTAATTGTTTCGCAGCTTGTCTTAGGTTTTCCTTAGGCCCTCGATGGGGAATCGAACCTTACCTTACGGAAGAAAGAGGCCTCTTTCCTTATTCAGGGTTCCTTGGGTCAACGCCCCGGCTGCAATTCGAGGATTAAGCGATTGCGTAAGCACGCAGTTTCGGAAGTCCGCGAGGATTTCCTGGATCGGCGCTGGGCCGCCCTGGCGGCGCCGGCGGCGCCGCCCCTGGCGCGCTCCGTGCGCCAGGGAGGGAGGTCCAACGCCGACCCAAGAAGTTTGCACGGACCTCCGAGAAACTAACTGGGGACGCACGTGGGGACCCACGTGGGCACGTGGGCACCGTAGCTGGGGCCTTCTGTGGAGCTCCCTATGGGGCCACGAAGCCTGTGAGGTGTCGGTGTGCTGTCTTGTGGCGTCGACGTCAGGAAGGCTTGTGGCCCAGAATAGTTTGTTTCGCGCGGGCGAACCTGCAGCGCCTCTGTTCAGTCCTTTGCCAGCTACGTTTATGTAGTTCGTTGTGCTTCTGCTCTCTAGTAACGATCGTACGTGGGTGGGGGGGGCCTGGACTTCCTCACACGCTGGTGATCGTGCGCATACTATGGCGATCGCAGCGCACCCCGCCCCGACGCGCCCCACCCCGCCCAAGAATTATACTGTTACCTAGAACCCCCCTGTTACCGGACATGCACCAAAACAATCGCAAGGGCGTGTGCGGCTTGGTGGATTCGGCGGCGTCGGAGTCGGTTGCGTTCGATCGGTTCGGTTCGGTTAGCGGTTGGTGCCTGTGTCTTTGCCGCGCTGCTGCGCCCTTCTGGGCTGCCTGCGGCCCGTCGATCTCGGCCTGTTTCGATTTCCCGGTAGGTCAGGGCGGTTTTTGGTTGTGCTGTCGCCGTGGACGGCCCTGGTGTGTAGTGTATACCACGTCCCAGACCTCCGGCGGTGTGACTGTTTCAGTCCTGGCGTGTTTCTTTGAGCTTGGCCTTCGGGGCTCGTCATCGGGCCCCGGGGCCATCAAAAGCGGATCCGGGGCAGAAAACTACCCGCGGGGAAGGGGTGGGGACTTCTGGTGACGCGCATCGAAAACACACATCGTCGGATGTTTGGGCAACACACCACGTCGTTTGGTCGGCCGAAGGCGCCCAATGAGCTCGGCGAAGGGACTCGGTGCACAGGCTCCAGCACCCCACGCGGTTGGGGAGCTGGGGCGTCTGCTCAGTACACTTGACCGCCTGACCGACAAGACGACTCGGTGTATACGCGTCGAGCCCCTCCCAGGCTGGGGATCACCGTCGACGAGGACCAGCCGAACGGTTCGCTGATCTTGTCGAGGGTGGAGCCGGGGGGCCTCCTGGCCCAGTGGAACTTGTCCAGCCCCGCCTCGGCACTGCAGCCTGGCGACAGGATCGTTGCAGTGAACAACGTGCGCGGCGACGTCGGCGCCATGTGCGGACAACTCGCGGACAGCCTGGTGGTCGACCTCGTGTGCCGCACTCGCTGAGGGCGTCCGCTGGGAGGAGAAGGTCGCGAGCGGCGAACATACGTATCCGCATCCGCGCCCTAGAGAACGGATGTCGACAGGTGGCCTTGGCCCACTGTGTCCCAGGTCTGCTGCTAGGGAGGCCCCCGCGGTCCCCGTCGGGGCCCAGAGGGGCGCCCGAGGAGAGGACACTGGACCGACTCCATGGAGAGTCGGGGAGAGCGGCCGCATCTGCCCTGCCTCTCCGCCAGTGGCGCGAGTTGCTGGAACTTGGGCCACGTGAGGACCAATCGGTGCGGCAACAGCTCCAGCGCTCCAGCTTTATCGAAGAAGGCAATTGGGCATCAGCATACATGTTGGACGCCCCCTCGGATTTCTCGGATCTGCGCCAGACCCTCTGGCGACGACTCCGGCGCCGCTCTTGGCGCGCTCCTCGCGCCAGGGAGGTGGTCCAGCGCAGCTCCGAGAAGTCCGTGTGGACTGTCGAAAGCAATGTTTGTGCAGCTTGCTCCTCCTCTGCTTTCGGATGCGTCCACGGGCTGCAGCGGCAGCAGCCTGCCCAAGGTGCTGAAGAGGCAGCCGCTCCCTCGCAGCATCGAGGAAGCAGAAGCGCGGCCGCGTTCCTCATCCGTCGCTCCTTGCCATGCTTTCGTATCTTCATTATGCCTTCTATACGGCAGGTTCGTGCCGTGTCGACGCGGCTGCGACCACCGCATCGGCGAACATGGAATGATCGGTCGATGGAAAAGCCGCCGAGCTTCGAATGTTGAAGAATCTGCGCGGTGTCGGAAACCAGTCGTCACGACATGACCCTGCTGTACGATGTTTTTTGGCCGTCATATCCGATATGGCCAGGGCCTTGCATTGGGTCCTTTCGTCTCTCCAGGAGGCCCTGTTCCGTAGTAGGTCTCACCTGCTGGCGGCCTCTTGCGATTCGGCACGTGCTGGGTCCATGGCTTGCGCGATCCCAAGGATAAGTTCCAGTCTGACTTCCACTCTGGCGCCCAATCTGCGATCAGCATGTGTCCGCCGAAGTCAGAAAAGCATCAGCGCGTACTGGCGGCGTGGCGTGTTGCGTTTGGTCCCGGGCGCCCGGGCGGCTACATGCGATATGAATGTTCTAATGTAGTTTGGGTCTTACATGGTAAGTTTGGCGTGGTTATGTTTTCTTGTCTTCGGTCAGGTTACATGCATTGACCTTTACCGCGAGTATTTGAGTTTCCCAGCGCATTTCGCCTGGCTGAGCCTGAAAGAGTCGCAATGACATACCTTGTGTTTGCTTGACGGACTGGCTTGCTGTCAGCAAGGAGTTTGAGGGGGGGGGTAGCTTCAAGTGTGGCACTTACTTCTCAAGACTTTCATCCTTCCGAGCATCCGAACATCTTCGAATTGCTGGAGTCAGATTTGTTGTCTTAGCTTTCTGATCGCTCTGATCGCTCAAGGAATTTCCGCTGTAGCTGTATGTTGGTGCGCTTATCTGATTTTACTACTTACAGGTCCTTACGCGTGTTGCAAGTAGCTGGTCCTTTCTGGCGGGTCGGGCCGAGGGTGCTTGGCCTCCCATTGCCTCTCACGGCGTGGCCATGCATCGCGCCGCCTGTCCTGACTGGCGGGGTCGGGCCGAGCGCGCTTGGCGTCATATAGCCTCCATGGCGTTGCCTCTAATTGCTTTCCTATGCCACCTTCTTTTCCCAACACTTCTTCCGTCGGCCAGGCCGCTTATGACATCCAATAGCTCGGTATTGTTGTATGGTTCATTCTAGCGAGCCAGGTCTTCCGCGGATCAACCTTTTAGTCACCACGCGCTGCCATCATTGACAAGATCTCTTATCATGCGGTGGCAGGCGCAGCAACACGTTACCAAATGAGGATGCGGATTCGTCATTGCATGCGTATGCAGTATATGTGTAGCATCCCGTTTTCAACGTTTCGTGGACTGCTCACCGACGCCAGATGTAGGCTCGAGATGCTCAACGCCCTCCGCTTCCCACACATGCGATACCCTGTTTTTGGTAAATATGGGATCCCTGTAAGTCCCGACCCATTCTCCAGGGCCGCTTTTTCATCCCGAGCCGTTTTTTTTGACGGTCCCGGGGCCTGACTTCTTCAGTACGTCGGAGATTTGGGTCTCGGCGAGTCGCGGTTGCTGAGCCGTTTGCTACGACGCGGGCATGTCTGAGTTGCCTCCTGCTAACATACTGGATGATCGAGAAGCACAGTTAACATGGTCCCTGGGAGTCTCAGGGAACAGATATTCGAGCCTACGGCCTATATTCGCAGAAGCAGCCAGGTTTCACCCTCACGACTGGTGGCCGATCATGATTTCGGCTGATATCCAGGAGCGCTTCCGATATCATCCGCCTTCTCTCGTCCTCTCTCGCTCTCTGACTCTGACACATATTGCACATATTGTTTTTTAAATTAAAATGCGTCTCCTAGGGCGCGCACCTTGTTTTCTCAACAAGGGTAAGTCTTGGTGGCCAACTTGTGTTTCTGGCACCTGTTTATAACAGCAGCGGCTCCGGCCTGACACTAGCGCACAATTCATTCAGAACTCGAGTTCTCGCGCGGGACTTTTTACAACTTCTGCAGGATTCGCGCTCTCGCGTGGGATGTCCTAACAATTTATGCAGTCGCCGCCCCCTCGACGCTCAGGAATCGTGTTCTAGGTTTGGCTTTCTCGCACGATTTACTTGGACATCGCGCTACCTGTCGAGAATGACTCGCTAATCCTGCAGGACTCACGCGTCAGCGACCCGCCTGCTCTACCTGGCCGTCTGGGGCCGCCTTCCCGACCGACCCGATAGGGTCTCACCCGCTCGATCAGCCCGTCTGGTTCTGCCACGGGGTTTCTGTCTAATTTGCCCTCCTGCTCGTCTCTCTCGTACTCCATCCTTCTCCCTCCGCCTTCCATCCGTCCTCTCTTCCCTGTCTTGGGGGCTGCACCAACTACATGCACCTGGCAGATATTGAAGATATGCCCCCAAGGGAGTACGTCGGAAGATCAAGAGGGCGGGTATCAAGGGTTGGGGATCTAAGTTTTGTTGTTGTTCGGACAGGGCAAACACACGGGACCCGACTTGTTGTTGAGACGTTCGTCTTTCTTCATCCTTCGTCTTTCCTCATAAGTCACGTTGTTACCGTTGAATGAAAGATTGAGTTCCAGCAACAGCGGTCTTGCCCCACGAAGCCCGAGAAGACGTTGGCACTGGTGCGGCGGCGGCAAGTCCTCCACGGGGCCCATGGATTTTGTTCGCACCCCTGGCGCGCCCCGAACAGGCTGTTTGGAGTAAGCGTACTTTTCTGCGCGCTCTCATACAGGATCCTCACGGTCCATGCAGACATCGGAGACTTGATCCGAATTCTGTGAGGGTCCACAGGGTTCCCAAGTAATCTTCACACTTCTTGAGGTTTCTTGCGGATTATTTTGGGCTCGTTCAAGATGCAATCCGAATTCCTTCGGAATTCCGATGAATTTCCAACGATTAGTTTGGCACACCCCTCACACGTTTCGTGGCCCCACAGGGAGCCCCACCGAAGGCCCCAGTGGCTGCGTTCACATGCGCCCACCGCGCCCATTTCGGCACACCCCTCACACGTTTCGTGGCCCCATAGGGAGCTCCACCGAAGGCCCCAGTGGCTGCGTTCGCATGCGCCCACCGCACCCAGTTCGGCACACCCCTCACACGTTTCGTGGCCCCATAGGGAGCTCCACCGAAGGCCCCAGTGGCTGCGCTCGCATGCGGTTCCACCCCCCATTTCGGCACACCCCTCACACGTTTCGTGGCCCCATAGGGAGCTCCACCGAAGGCCCCAGTGGCTGCGCCCGCATGCGGTTCCACCCCCAATTCTGGCACACCCCTCACACGTTTCGTGGCCCCATAGGGAGCTCCACCGAAGGCCCCAGTGGCTGCGCTCGCATGCGATTCCACCCTTCATTCTGGCACACCCCTCACACGTTTCGTGGCCCCATGGGGAGCTCCACCGAAGGCCCCAGTGGCTGCGCTCGCATGCGGTTCCACCCCCAATTTCGGCACACCCCTCACACGTTTCGTGGCCCCATAGGCGGCGCTGCCCCATTTCGGCACACCACTCACACGTTTCGTGGCCCCATAGGGAGCTCCACCTAAGGTCCCCGTGGCGCAGTGCGCATGGCGCCGCCGCCCCATTTTGGCACACCCCTCACACGTTCCGTGGCCCCACAGGGAGCTCCATCTCAGGTCCAAGTGGGGCAACTCGCATGGCGCCGCCGCCCCATTTTGGCACACCCCTCACACGTTTCGTGGTCCCACAGGGAGGGAGGAGGAGGAGGAGGAGGAGGAGGAGGATGTGAAGGAGGAGGAGGAGGAGGAGGAGGAGGAGAAGGAACCCCCACGATATCCACAATTGCGGTATTCACAACTACGTATGGTTGGGTCTTTCGTCAGGCTAATTTTGGATCCTTTCGGGTTCGTCAAAATTCCTGTGCGTTCCAAGCGAAGTCTGTGGATCCATAAAAAGGTCACAGATGCTTCGGAAGTTTCGCAGCGTTTCTTCAGGTGGCAGGTATGTGAGGATCCGTTCCAGATCCCAGAAGATAGCATAACACCTCTAGCTCCCTCACGATTTCTGAAACGTTGCCCAGGTTCTTCGCGGCTCGTCCAGGTTATCTGGGTTGATTCAGCCTGTCTCAGTATGGAAGCGTCAATACGGAATCCTAAGTAAGGAATTCGGAGTATGAGCTCCTTAGTAGGGGCTCCGCTGTGAAAACATAATGGTTTTGTAGAGGCTCGCATACGGGCTTCATAGTACATAATCCTTGGACGGGACCCTTAGTGCGGATCATCAGCACGGGATTTTGAGTAAGGGGTCTCCAGTCAGGAGTCCTTAGTAAAACATCCTTTAGTGCGGAATATTTCGTGCGGGATCCTTAGTCGTGGACTCTTAGGTTGGAGCCTTTCTTATGAAATCCGTAGGGGGGACCTTTCTAAGCCAGCATTAGTCAATGTTGATCATTATTGTTGGGAATCATGAGTGGGGGA